TCGAATGATCATGCACTTCGTACAATAACAAATAATATTTTCTCAGTCATACTTCATATTGAACAAGCAGCACATTTACCAAATGTTTATTCTAAACAAGAGTAAATTTAATTTCTATGCTAATAAATATTTGCTTAATTTTGTTATTATTTTTAAGTAATGCTCATGTTCCACCAAATCCCTATGTTACTTATTCAGCAGCTGGTTCTCATTATTTATGTCGTACACAAGTCTTAAAATCAACATCTAAGCCTATATGGAATTATCAACAATCAGATAAATTAGCTGTTGAACAATCGACAAAAATATTTCTTTATTCGATATAATAGAAAAATCAGGTGATAAAGTTCTTGGTTTTGTATCTATTGATTTAAGTCTATTACTTTCTGGTTTACAAAAAATATCTGGTTGGTATAATATTGTGGATACAATCGGAAATATTCAAGGACAATTAAAAATTGATATTCTACCACAAGAAGATCTTTCGGAATTAAAATGTTTTAAATATAAATCAAATGAAAATCAAACTAATATGAATTCATATCGTTCAACATCAGCAATAAGTGGAAATACATCATCGGCAATTATGACTGATCTTTCAGCACGAACTGTAAGTTTAAAAGAAAAGCGATTTATTGATTTGATTTTTATATTGAAATATTCTAGGATACTAGAGGTCAACCAAGTTTAAATTCATTCATGATTAACGATGAAAACAATAACACATAATTTCTAATGAATAATCTTCAGTAAGTAAATTATTCAATAGAAAGGCTGTGGGAATTAGTGAGAATAGGGACCTGGAACTAACGGCGCCACTCACATTCACACCCTATTTTGTATAAATATCGTATTTGGTCGCGGTGTGAAGAAAAATACTTCAAATAAGAATTAATAAGCATTCTTATTTTTTTTTCTAGACGTCACTTAGGTGAGAACTGGATATAATAACTGAACGATTAAAAGCTCGTTTATATTCTGGTTCCGAAGTAGCTTGATCGTCGGCAATGATAACAAATCGTTGTCAAAGCGTACCACCATCATTAACATTGTCACCCTTTAATTTACCGTTACATACAAATTCAATTCAGCAAGATAAAGGGTGTATCCTAAGTCTTGATCTCATTCGTTTTGATTATAACTTTTTTTCTTTTCAACGTTTACACATCTGCATTTTTTCAACAGATGCGCCGTCAAATTCTCTACAAAATTTGTGTTAAGTGTTTTATTCTGGGTGAAAGACTGAATAAAAAATACCGAGAGACTTCAAAACCGCTATTTTCCAATGACTACGCTTAAGCGATATTTTCTGACAAAAGACTAAAAGAAAAAGAATTCTCATATAACAACTATTTATGCTATAGAAGAGTTTTAATTGTGGCTAAAATATAGAGTTTTTCAAGCGCTACAAAATGACGGACTTAATTTTTTCATGTCTTAAAAGATCAAAGAATAGAACCAAAACACTTCTTTTTTTTTAAAGTTGGCGACCTTTGACTTTCTCGAGCGGTCTTTCACTTTTCTGTTCTCGAATTCGACACTTAGTATATATTTTGTACAGAATTTGACGGCGCGTCTTTTTCAAAAAAAATGCAGATGTATAAACGTTGAAAAGAAAAAAAGTTATAATCAAAACGAATGGGATCACGACTTAGGATACACCCTTTATTGATACAACACGTTCAACAACAACAACTATTCAAACGGATTTATTAGAACATTTTCCTGAATCATTAAGTGGTCGCCCATTAATGAGTAATGGTCTTAATGTAACTGATGTACTTTCATTACATAATGATCAAGTTCGTCTTGCACAAGAACTAATGACGAAAACAAATCATTTACTTGAAACATCAAAAAAATTTTTTAATAAAACACCAATACCACCTCCACCTTCAACATCATTATCCACTATAGTAGAACAACAATCTACTCCATCACCACCATCAGCATTACCAAATTTTAATATGACCAATGAATTTCGAATCACAGCAGGATCACCACAAATTACTGTTAAAAAGGCTGAACGTAGGGTGCGGGTGCGGGTGATATACTAGCTGATACCCACACCCACACCCTCGATCGAACCCACACTGACAGAAACACCCACAACTACACCCATACAAAAATACCCACAAACCTGTCACCTAACGGATAGCCACACCCACACCTAAGATGCAAGACCGAAAAAACCAAGCAAGATTGTGGTAGACCAGGTTGTAGAGATTCTGGAACTTATGACGGCCGTCACGATCAACGTGATGATTCACGTTTCGGGTGTAGCATTCAGTGATTCTTGCACCGATGCTAACCATTCCAAGAAAAAACATAACGAGCACCAAAAAACATCGTCTTCGCAACCCAGAATACAAACGCATATCCTTCTCTCCGATTCTGCTGTTTGTTTCTCTCTTTTTTCCAAATAGACCGCATAAATTTTCATTTGAAATAAATAGCCGATGAACGTGTCGCGAAAGAAGGGCTCCAATCTAACCAAAATCCACACACTCACCCACACCCACACCCTCAAGACTACATTTTTCAGTATGCTATAATCCTTTGATGCTCAAAATTAACAAAAGATTTCAACTGGTAAAGTGCCTAAAATCCATAGGACAACCAAATGAATGGGGATTATTTTAATGTCATTTTTTTATGTAAGAAGTCATTACATTGAAGTTTACCAGATTTATCATAACCAAACACTTGCAATTATGCATATTATTTACAACAGCTATACACTGAAGTAACAAAAAAAACCGGTAGAAGTACTTTGATGATTCATGAAAATATTTAAGAAACTTTCTTTCCATACGGTTTAATAGAGAAAATAATGCTCTGTTTACTATGGCATCGGATCATACTTCAACTGGTACCATGATTTTTGATGAGATGTTACATCGAATCATGCGCTAGACGTTTCCCTAATATATGACTTGCTGTTTGTCTTGCTTATATCAAAATTTATTCGAGAAAATCAGATACATACCATAATGAAAAAAGTCTTATTAACAGTTTACTAGTATGATATCAGTTGAAGTGTCCTCAAATAGCATGAAAAAAATGGAGCGTTTTTTCTCTATCAGAACATATGGAAAGAAAATTTCTGAAATCTTTTTTTATAAAGAATAAAAGTACTTCCAACACTATTTTTCGTATGGCATGAGTGGTTAGCGAAAAAGGTATAAAAAGAAACCATGGGAATAGATCAAAGAAACTACTAAAAGGCTGTTGTTTGCATCGTTGGAAATAGAACGAGTGACTTGGTTAAAGGAGATGAATTTTACTTTATCAATGAGTACGAAAGATACCATCAAACCGTCGCTATTCTTTTTTGGCAGCAGCATTGAAAAAATACTAACAATATTTCATTCTTAAAACATGTAAATGATTCATCCATACAAATACGACTATTACTGCGATTAGTTCTACACTATATTGAAGTTTTTGTTGTATAATTAAGTCTAATGAAATAAATAATGTTCGTGCAACAGCTATTGGTCTTGAATTTGATTGTAACAATGATGCAGTAGCAATTAATTCAATAAAATGCTTGACTAAGATGTGGATCATCTAATCTCCGCAGTCACAATCAAACCAACGCCAACACTCATATCTTTGAATAAAAAGGAACTCAGACACTACTCGTATTTGTAAGCTAGTATTCGTTATCGGATCCAACAGAATTTATTTCATGATATATCAATGGCATTCATATCTCTTTCTTGTGGGCTAAGCTTACAGGTCATCGAACAGCGATGAGGATTGATGAGTACCCTCTAAATATCTATTTAAGATAGGTCATATGAAGAGAATTAGCACTTCCCATCATCTTATATAAGGTGGTGACCAAATCCAGCTTACAGAACTATGCTAAAACTGTCAAATGCCTAATTATGATAAAATTGTTAATACAGAAATTCTTAAAAATAAATAACCTGAAGTCGTTGTTGATACTGGAAAACATGGTTCGTTGAGGACTATTTTAAACATAAGAACACGACTATTCACGCGGTCACACACGTAGAGGTTGCCATAGTTATCAAAGTCCAAATCGACAGGTTGTTCAAATTGATTTGGTTCATGCCCCCAACCTATCATAAAAGCGTTGCCAGAGAAAGATAAAAATTAGAAGCAGTGAGAAACGTTCGAAATATGTACCGATCAATCAGAAGATTGATAAATGGTAGGTGAACATAAACGCTACACATTCTTATCGAAGTTTAGTGTTATCGTTGTTTCGTCTCATAGTGGACGCTCAAACTTACTTTGTGTTTCAAAATATTAGTTAATTGTTCATTCGCTTTTCATATTTGACCTGTTCGAGGCGGATACTATTGTCATCACGCAAGCAAGATTATCTTCTAAACATATGCTTGTAAATTCGAACGGAGCTAATAAAAACCGAAGTTCATACCTAACCCGCCAGCAACGGTGTCGCCAAAGAATGCATTTGGTAACCAACGTTGAATTCTATTATTGGATGAATCGGCTACATATACGACTTGAGTTTCATCATCAACTCGTACAGCAGTCGGATTCGACAATGATTCAGCGTCATTACCTTCATTACCCGTAGTAAATCCAGCTATAGTGGTACCATTGGACGCATCTTTTAACCATTTCTGAATACGATTATTTGCATAATCAGCGACGTATACCGTACCACTGATATCATCAACATAAATGCCTTCAGGAGAATTGAGAGTATCACTCATCAGTCCTTGATAATTTTCTCTACCAGCGACGACCGTCTTGATATTTGTTCTTGGTGACCACTTGTACACACTATGCTTCATAACCGATGTCATGTAAACATTTTTCTCTTTGTCGACCCATACGGCTTCACACATCAAATATTCACCTCCAACTTCCATTCCGTCTGGCATTCCTTTAACCCACTTCTTCACACGGCCTTCATCTCGAAGAGAGACAAAAACGGTTGGCTCGTTGCGGTCGCCATCAACATAGATCTTCGACGGATACGTGACATTAAATATCACGGTCGTACCCATGCTCGATTGCTGATTAAGCGGAAACGTTTAAATACGTTTATTACCAGTGTCAGCCACGTACAACGTATTAGCTTGTCGATGAATGAAAATTCCTTCAGGGTCATAAAGTTGATCAAGCTGATTACCTTCGCCGCCAATGCCAGCTACTATTATGCCTGTTTTATTCCATTGTGCGCAAGGACTGATCTGTATCGATTCCGTGGACGGTATCCAACACCAAAAGATAATTTGAATATGAATAAATGTCCAAAACATCACATTTACTTTGCTCATTGTTGAACTTAGGAAAATAAATGAAGAGTTTGAATAAATGGCGTTTTTAGATACGTCTTAAAAGAGAAAGAATCTGCAATCTCAGCAGAGGGAAAGCAAATTTTGAAGTTTTGTTTGAGTCAAAAAGATAAGATATATACGTATATATATATATCTTGGTCACACAGACGTAGCATGTATCTCATGAAAAGAATCTGCCGGTAATGCTAACATCATAGCTCAGAAGAAACTAGAGTACTAAAAAGAGTTCTACTCATTTCCTACTATAAGTTGACAATATTTTATTCAATAGATCCATATAAATGTTAATGGATGAAGTATTTGCTTATAAGAAAGCCGTACACAATATGCAAACAATGAAAGTGAAAAGGGCATGATCAATCGTACAAATTATGAGTGAAAGTTTATTTTTTTTTGTATTCGTTTTCATCTCATGATGACATCGTCTCTTGCTTTTCATATACCATAGATTGATATGAACTGTTTATATATCTACCTTTATAATTTTCTACTAGTTCTCTATCTACAGTGGATATCTTAGGTGTTTATCTCTTGATACTCAAGCACTATCGCTGTATAATTTCAAGTATAGCTATTTTCATTTTCATATTGAAGTTTGGTTAATATGTTTATTATACATTACGTTTAGGCAAGACTATATATTAAAACATTCTGGAATAAATTTTCATATTATGGGATATAAAATCTATCTGCTGATAGTATGAGTGATCCAAATTGGGGAAAGATCTTGCGCTGACGGGCCTAAATTAAAAAGAGAAAATACTATAGCATCGTTCACAGATTAATTCAATAGTTGGGTGTGGGTGTACTTATCTGTCATTCCCCATTCGGCACTTGATTATGTCATAGTAGCTGCAGCAAGTCAATGATCATTAACTATTTCTGAAGTTGATTGAGCCTTCGGATTATTTGATAATGAGTATGTGAGTTAAACTGCATTATCGATTATTTTTGTTTGAATAGAACTTCTATTATTGAGACTTTCACCGACTAAATAATACTTTTATCGCGTAGCATATTTATTTAACTTTATTAATATATTTTCTAATTTATACAATTTGTTTCTCATTATTGTATTTTACAATAGGCATGCTAGTCATTAGAAACATGATTGATTCTTCTGTGGCACCGATACAATGGCAACACTCGTATTTGGAAACCCTCATTTTCAGATGTTATGCTGATACAAGCTGGCAATAAAAAGTATCGCTGAAAGTAATAGACTCTGTCAAAGTTTTTAGAAGGAATATTTTTGATTAGAACGATCATGACTATTTATGAGGAGGCCATTGCCCATGAAGTTTAAACGCTTCGAACAATTGCATGCTTTTCGTATCGATTCATTAGTTTAAAATGTAAAAACTTACTCGAAGACTAATCACAAAAAATATCTGTTTCAAATTATTGAATTCTTCGTTTTTATTAAAAAGAAAAACAACAAGTCAAACATCAATGAAAACAATATCCAGATTTTCTATTGTTTTGCTCATGTTCATGGAATTGATGCAATAAAAAACGAAATATAATTTTTTATTCAACTTTTACCAAATCATCAAGTATTTTTTGTGTCAATCGACTGGAAATTTTATGATAACGTCGTAAATGACTTTCAAACGTATATAATTTAACAAAACGAGTACCACAAGTTGGAATGTCTAAGTTTTGTTCAGTATATTTTGGTGAATTGATTTGTTCATAAGAAAAAGGACATGGGATATCATACGAATGAATGATTGGATCTTCATTTTCATGAAATAATTTTGTTATTCGAGGGTCAAGATCGGCGGCAATAGCTCGCATCAAACGTTGAGCGTAAACTTCTTTTAGGTGATGCAATCGTCTGAAATGCTGATATAAATAGATTCGTCTATGTTTTTGGGCTCCACACAATCTAATAGAATGATTTGCTTTAGTAAGACCAAATGCTCCATCAAATGTTAATGGACATTTATCTGAACGGTTTCTGTATGATTTTACTTGATGTTTTTCCTTTAGATGTTGTTCCTGAAAACAAAAAGCAAATAGATTTTATAATAAGTATCTTAAATACCGAAAAAAAAATCAGGAAGGACAAAATATGATATTCACGTTAACTGATTTTATGTAATATTTCATTAAAAATCAGATATTTTACATTGTAAAAAGAACTTTGTCATGAAGTGAAGTTTACTCATAGAAATATTTAAATTCGAAAAATTCTTTAATTTATGCGAACGAAACTAATTTCCATAGTGAAATGGCATTTGGAGTAATTGCCTTGAAAACTAAATCTGTCCAATAAAAGTATTTGTCACATGTAAAAAAAGCGCGAATTGTTCAAGTAGAATCTGACCGATTCAGAAAATTTATTTTCTAAAGAACCTCTATTGAATGTAGCGTTTTAATTTATTTACTACTGGTATTTTTCTAATTTATCGTTCCATACTAATCTGCAATGAGAATCAAATCGAGCTAAGACTACTTGCAGAAAATCTCGTTTTTCTCCGGTAATACGGACAAAAATCATTTGAACTTGTCGACTGAGATCTTTTCGGGGTTGCCTTCGTATTTATCTAGTCAACATGCTTACGCACGGGTAGAATTATTTTTGCCTCAGTAGATTTCTTTGTTTCACTAAAACAAAGAAAAATATCCAATAAGTTTCAAATATTTTTCTAATAAAAAAATTAACTTACTTAACTGAAACAGTATCAACCAAATCCTGATTGATATCCATTGAGTTCTCATCATCTTAAATCAATTACGTTTGGTTTTATTTTGGAAGGTAAACAAAATTTAGCTTACTTTTTGAGATTTCCAATTCTTTCGGTACATCTAAACATAGAAAAAACTTATATTTTGTATGTGGCCTCTACAGTCGGCCTATATTTTTCGAAAAATTCTTCAGAAAAGCGTAGTTTAAATATTGCCACTGACGTCCATAATATGACACAGATATTAGTGGCAGTATAAATGGTGCTCATGTCGTATTACTTCATCGAGATTGTTCATACTCGTTTTATTAATTGCCTATGAATAAAATCTTCATCGAAAAAATATGATTATTCGTCTAGACACGAAGGTTTCCATTGAATAAGAACTAGTCGAAATGAAATTTTCAGACTATTTCGAATTTTAACTTACCATCTGAATTCATGTTTTCCTTATTACATTTACAAACTGAAGAACGATATTCAGGTTCTGATAATGATGGTTCAACTTTTATTATGATTTCTTCTTGAACAAAAAAAAAATATAGAAAAAAAACAGAAATTATCTGATTTAGTTTTTACCTGAATGATTGGATGCTATTGCTTGATTAAGTTTTTCGAAGAGGTTTTGCAGTTTATCAATTGAAATACTAGGTACATCAAGGAATTGCTCTGCTTGTTCAATCAAATTGTGTTCCTGATTAATAATTCGTTGTTTTTCTTCCACAATTAATTTAAGCTTATTTTTAACTGTATTTAATTCATGACGAATAGCATCTAATTGTTGTTTATTTTGTTTTATTATTTCAAGATGTGCAATTAAATGAGTTAAACAAACACGACGTAAACAACAATAACATTCATATAATTCTTTAATTTCATTATCACATGTTATATCTGTACATGAACCTTGTTCGGACATTCACACGAATATCTGTATCTGTAGTATTTGTTAAGATATGATCGTTATCACTGAGGATGACGATATGTTGGAAATAATTGATTGTCGAACGAACTGACTAACAACATATAGACAAAGAGAGAGATGTCGTTGAAGGAAAAAGAAAACGAATAGACAGAGCAACACATCACATCAATCAAGTTATCATCCTTTGTTTTATTGAATAAAATAGTTCGCTAGTGCTAGCCAACAGGGGTCGCATCTTGCCACCTGACCCGGCCCATAGAAAGTGTGCGAGTGGAACGGGCGGACTGAAGAAAATGTTCGAATGACTTCGGTCTGCGAAAGTTTTATTCAATTTTACAAAATAGGTATCAAAGACGTCACTTTTACACAACTACAATTGAGCAACAGAGTAAATCATGTGTTACTTTTTACAAATCTCCTTCTAAATATGAAATTGATCTACAAAGTTCAGTTGAAACAAAGATGTTTTTTTTTTATATATTAAGTGTAGTTTTTGAGTAAAACTAATAAAATTGAAATCTCAATATTTTTCTTATTTCAGTTTCACAGTAAAATAAACTTTGATAAATAGGTTTTTGTTCGTAAGCAATGCGTGGGAAGAAAGTATGTAAAAAATTATAGTACTCCGAAAGAGAAATAACCACGAACATGAGCAAAATATCAATGGAATAATTAAAGTGCTGCTTAAGCAATCAAAAGCCTATCGTATCGCGCTGAAGTAGCGGTAATGTAAAGTATACTATTAATTCCACAGAATAAAATAAAAATAACCGAAGCATTATGCCTTCAATAAATTTCGATAATCTCAGTGAAAAGCTACGACATGAATATCGATCCTGATCGATTAATTTTGATTGAATCTACTAACATAAATTCAGACTGGCTTTCTGTTTATGACTCGTCCTATGAAATACTGACTATCGAAACTAGTGGCATCATTTCATTCTTTTATGATGTGATATGCTCTGTGAGTAGAAAATAAAGCTATTTTACTGTAGCGTGCAATTTCAACCCAGCATCAACAGGAGTGAAATAGAATTTTCGACAAAGAAAATTATCAAGTGTAAATATTTGTGCATTCCAGCGGTTGTAGCATCGCTTTGACAAGAAACTCATGTCGATATCTTGCGCTAAATTATTTGGTTAATGACAAGTCTTATTATGGAAAGCAAATGTTCTTTCAATATGACGAGATATACCTTCAGCTGTATGCAATATAGTATTCATTAGAAATACAGAGTAGCGCATCGGCAAGAAACAATTCGCTGGCGTGAAAAGAAACGGAAGATTTATTATTATTACGCTAAAATGCTTTTCTATTATAAAATATTTTATTGCATTCATTGAAAATTGGTTGTCGTAAAGCTGATGCCCTCCAGTGTTTTATAGTTTTGGCATCTAATGAATAAATATTCCAATTTTTACCTCGACTTCTTGATATCTCAAAGCTTTGATGTCCGAAATAATTATGCCTAGGTTATAGAAACCGTATTAGATGGGTATATTTTTATTCACTTCAACGACGGCATAAGAGCGAGCCAATATAAAGTGTTGTAATTCTCAAGCAAATAATAAATCATTTATTACTGTTTAGATTTTTTTATGATTCTTCTGAGCTCGTGATGGTTTTCATGGAGGAAATTGCATTTTATTAGTTTGCCATTTTTACTCAGTCTTTGCTCTTCTCGATATTGAATTTTATAAGAAAAAAAAGAAGCAAAAGCACGACCTACTCAAAACAAGCATAAAAATAGTTTTCGGTGTTGCGATGATTAAATATTTTTTATTTATTTCATATAAAAAATCCGTCGTAATTTTTAAATCAAATTCGAATCAATCATTTATCAGGCGAATGAAAACAAAAATATTTGCCTGTCGCAATGATTTATGTCAAGTATGTTGTTTCATTCATCATCATCATCAGTCTATGTTTTTTTGCGTATCAAAATCGGAACAAGAAAACCGAATTCCGGAGTCCATATACACCGAGCACGTAATCGACAGAACGAGGAAAAAAGCCAGACTAATGGTAATCTTTATTGAAGAAAAAAAAAGAGAAGAGAAAAGTGCAGCTCGAAGGCTATTATGCTGATACCGATGTGTTGATTGTATTTTCTTGATTGTAGTACTATGGTTGTTTTTCATTGGTCGAATCATTATGCCAAAATATATTTGACAAGACCGTAAAACAATTAATACAAATCTGTAAGTTGGATGAAACAAAAATTGATTCTGGCAGCTCCGATTTCTATTAGACATTCTTCATTCATACGCGATAAGATAGATGTAAATAGGTCACATTTGTGCGTGAGCAGGTGTTACAAATGTGTTTTCTTTAAATAAAACGGGCTTACGCATCTATGAATGATAAACGAATAGTTTATTCAACAACCACAACTTGGTCTTGTTCTAAGTATTCGAATAATTATTAAATATGATTGCTATCTTTTTTTATATACTAAATAAAAACAAGTGGAAGATAAAAAAAAACGATTATTCTGCGATAAAATCGTTAATACGGAAAGCAACAGAATCGTTAGTTGAACTCTTTTTACCGTTAAATGGAGAGGAAAATAGAATAAAATATAAACTGGAATCTCTTATCCGGAGAAAAATTTACAATTTATATCCGATAACCAACAAGCTTCTCGTGTGACTCCTGCTGATTGAATGTACGATAAATTATTTACTGTAATCTTGAATCGCCTGTCGGATAGATCATCTCGCCCTTTTCCTCTGAATAGAAATACTTTTTGAACTAGACTTGTGTTATTCATTACATGTCGATTTGTTTTTCTATTTGTATAACTCATTCTTATTTTATCTTCTCGTTTCTTTGTTCCACTTGCTACAAGATGTTCCTTTCGCTTTTAGCAGAAGAGTTGAATATTTCTCGCCTTCACCAATCATATCGATAGTCTATGAAAGAGGTCATATGAACCAGATAACTTTTCTCTGACCTATCATTTTATACATTCTGGTTGAAGACGCATGACCGTGTTCAAACAACAAGAGAGAAATATATTCGTCACGCTGTCTGATCGCATTACATCTTACTGACTCTCAATTCATTTCGACTTTTATATGAAGATATAAATAGTAACAAAAAAAGGAAAAAGTCGAATTAACCATGAAAATAAACTAGGCCGACAGCACTCCCTTGCCTAACTTGTGTTAGCGTCGTCGTATTCGTAAATATGCGTTTTTTGTCTCGACTCATAATTTATTTCGGATAGAACACTTCTCTGAACGATATGGTATTATCTTGCATTATTCTATTTGCAAAGATGATCGACATAATTTTTATTTGGTGCGAGACGATAAGATAAAATAACAAATATCTACCATGGTATCTTTTTCTATATTGAAGAACGAAAAAGAAAAATATATTCGATACATAGAATAAGAGGAAGACATGAAAGAAAGAAATCGTCATATTCTATTAATGTGCAATTCCGAGGCTAAATTCTTTCGTTTTGATGCCTTAATGATAGCTACTTATTTTTCCCCGTCACTTGTTCATAAATCTGAGGCAATTATTTTCTTTTTTATTTGTATACTTTTCCTAAACGCTAGATGAAACAGTGTAGATGCAGAGAATTTATCTGAAAAAATATTTTTCTCGCTTGTCACTTGAATAAAAATGACCGAAAACAAGCGAGTCGGGTGAAGTTCCATGGACGTATAAAACAAAATATGTGTACGATTATACTATGAAATGTGTATCATTTGTATTTTCTAGTAATTATGACGTCGATTATGGCTATTTCTTTAATCACTGGATTGGTGATCGCCATCAGTACTGCAATCAATTACATATTCTCTTTATTTCAAATACTTTTCAAAAAGCCAATTCCCCCAACAGGCGCCGTGGAAATCGATTCGGTCGAACATATCTACGTTCATCCAGACTGTACAAGAGGATTAAAAGATTTCTCTTCACACGTTGCCAAAACAATACATGAAATTTTCTTAAATAGTGTTCGATTGTATGGCGATCGACCACAATTTTCATACAGACAATCATCCGATGAACCATTTAAATCTTATACTTATAAGTAAGTTGTGTGTGTGCGTGTGTATAAGATTAATTGCTCATCTCCTTTCTCTTTAGACAAGTATTTGAAATCATCAAAGAAATTGGCAGCGGTGTCGTTCATACTGGTCTTAAACCATCAAATGNCATGAAATTTTCTTAAATAGTGTTCGATTGTATGGCGATCGACCACAATTTTCATACAGACAATCATCCGATGAACCATTTAAATCTTATACTTATAAGTAAGTTGTGTGTGTGCGTGTGTATAAGATTAATTGCTCATCTCCTTTCTCTTTAGACAAGTATTTGAAATCATCAAAGAAATTGGCAGCGGTGTCGTTCATACTGGTCTTAAACCATCAAATGAAACATTCGTTGGTATTTATTCTTCAGCATCAGTTAATTATGCGCTTTGTCTCTACTCAACTTGGCCATATTCAATGGTACCTATTGGCATTTATGATTCACTGGGTCGTGATGGTGTCAAATTTATTATAACTCAAAGTGCTGTTGAATTGATATTTGCTGACGATTTAACACGAGTGAAAAATTTAATTGAATGGAAAGATGAAACAATATCTTTGCAAACAATTGTTAGTTTTGTTGAACCAACAGAAGAATTAGTCCGATTAGCTGAAGAAAAAAAACTAAAACTTTTGACACTTGATCAATTAAGAGAGATCGGTCGAAATAATCCGGTCGATGCAGTACCACCAAAATCAACTGATACAGCATTAATCATGTACACAAGTGGAAGCACAGGAGAACCAAAAGGTAGAAAAAAATTGAAACATTTTTGCAGTTTGAAATAAATATTTATTAATTCATCTAGGTTGCATTCTTTCACATCGAAGTTTTATTGTTGCAATCTTTGGAATTCTATCTTCTATAAATTTAACAAGTGTGGCAAAAGATGAAGCAATTCCTCGCGTATTAAATTACATGCCGTTAGCACATGTTTTTGGTTGTGGAACGATCGTTGCTTTAAGTTTATTAGGTATAATCGATATTTCAGCATTCATACGTAGCATTCTCTATGATGATTGTAGGTGGAGAAGCTGGCTTTTGGCAAGGCAAAGTTGAGAAATTGATCGACGATTTTCGTGATTTTCGGCCAACCGTTCTTGCCATGGTACCACGTCTATTAAATCGATTATATGATAAAGTTCGATTAGAATTACGTAAAAAAGGTGTAATTGGTCGTGTATTATTCCGATTGGCTATTCGCGGTAAACTAGCCCTTATTCGACGTGGAGATTTTTCTCGGAACACGATCTGGGATAAAATTATTTTTGAAAAACTTCGCCAATCATTTGGCGGCAAAGTTAATCGTGTTATTTCAACAAGTGCACCACTCTCGCGTGATGTTTGTCGATTTTCGCGTGCTGCATTTTCATGTCTATTTATTGAATGTTACGGACAAACAGAATGTACGATTGCATGTTCGCAAACACTTAATGACATGGAATCAGGTGAAACAGGTATTCCAACTCCTGTGACTTATTTAAAATTAGTTGATGTGCCTGAGAAAGAATATTATGCTAAAGATCGCATTGGTGAAATTTGCATTCGAAGTGAAACGGTATTCAATGGTTATTTGAATGATAAAGCGAAAACACGTGAGGCTATCGATGAACAAGGCTGGTTACATACAGGTGATATTGGCCGATGGACACCACATAACACTATTCAAATTGTTGATCGAAAGAAGAATATGTATAAGGTGAGAATTCTAACTTGTCTACATCGAGATTTTTTGAATGTTGAGTGAAGTTTGTTTTCATTTTCGAAATCGCATAACTTCGTTTGGGTAACGCTCTGATATCTCTACGTGTGAATATTTTCAAGAATTAAAACACCGACAAGTATTTGATCTACATGTTTCAAACGAATAACTCAAAATATTTATCAAAAGTGATGATTAGGTTTCTATCATTTTCTTGAATCTATCGTGAAAGAGTAGCAGAAGAATTTTTTTTCTGTATAGAATATCTTGGAAATTAACCAGCCTACTTTATTAAAACTGACAGTGTAGGATTCGAATCATGATAGAACTAATTGTGCATATCTATCTATATGTAGCAATCAATCAAATAGGAATTCGGGCGGGGATAGGCAGTTGGGCGACTTCCCTTGTGAGCAATTCTACTTTGACTAATTACATTTTTATCTATTTTATAGCTAAGTCAAGGAGAATATGTGGCTCCAGAAAAAATTGAAGATGCTTACTCACGTAGTCGATTTATTTCTCAATTATTTGTTTATGGCGATTCATTAGAAAGTTTTCTTGTTGCTATTGTTGTATTAAATGATGAATATATAAAACAATGGTCTGCAAATCAAGGATACGATTATCAAGGAGCCGTATCAGCTGAAATGGAGACAAAATTAAAACAAGTTGTCCTTGACGATATGAATCGTGAAGGCAAAAAACGTGGTCTGATGTCTTTTGAACAAGTTAAAGCCATTGAATTTATCCAAGATTCGTTTACAATTGAAAATGGACTTTTAACACCCACATTTAAATCTCGTCGATATGCTGTAGAAAAGAAATATAAACAACTCTTCAAAAAGATTTATAAAAAAGTTAACGCTTAATGTGTATTAAGATTTTCTTTTATTTATCACACTTTTTGTTTCGATATAAAACTTCAGTTATTGTTTAAAAAAAAATAGAGTAAAAAACTGCAAGAAATTTCGATGCTTTTTTTTATCGATTTTCAAAATTTAACACATTGTGAGGAATAGATTGTTTTTCGTACGACACCGATTAAGAACAACTGGCGAATAGTTTGTCTATCTGGCTTTGGTCTTGATTGATTTAGTTTCTTGCTAGCGACTGGAACATAATGCTTCATACGACATAAATGTACACGTCTCATAAAATGAATAGTATGATACAAAATGTATTCTGTTGTATATCAAAAACGATGGAGATCAAGATTCTGCACATAGTAGGATTTTTATTAGAAACATTATCTGATATAAACGTCTTACAAACTACTAATTGTTTACAGAATGTCATAACTAACAATATTCTAACAGCTAGATTACACTCAACCAGAGATGGTTGATATCTTGCTCTATTTCCGATAGTTGATGTTCCTTTCACTTCATGACGACAGGCAACATATGTGTGTGTTGTAGAGTTTTTTCCATTGATAGCCAAGATTAGCATGACCCGTGAGGTGGTATTAAGAGCGCAGATATACTAGTGGGGGTCAAAATTTCTATTTGAGAGCTGACTTTATTCGATAATAAACTAAAAGCAGTTCATTCAGTGGTGTCTACACCACGCATATTGCACGTTATCTGGATGGCAAAAACAATTATATAGATCAAGAAGCTATTATTCATCTTCTTTCGCTTCATGGCAAAATCTGTTGTTTCTAGACTGTCCATTGATGTTTGATGAATGAATGGTAACAGCTAATAACAAGCTCTATAAGAATTCTCTGTTTATTCTCATACGGTTTGTTTCCGGTATGTGTCAACATACATGTGGACATCGTCTTAGATTTTGTCAAAGCCACATAGTTTGCTCTAACAGTAACCTTATCATCATTAAATTCAATAAATCATTATTGCACCAATAACGCAAAATATCCTCGATTAGTTATTAAACCATTTGATGGTTCTAGCAATTTCAATAAAATATTCTTGGCTCCTCCTGATCAGAATATGAGACGCCAGTAAGAAAGAAACGGATATGGACAAGAGGAAAATATCTATAGAAGTCTCAAGACACTACGTAAAAAAAATCATAATTTGCCAAGATCTATGTCATTTGATAGTAACGATTTCTATCCTATGATAAATAGAAGCGGTAATTCATTCTGCATGATAAAATCTCAAAGAAAAAAAATACTAGATGAAGTATAGCATAAGCAGTGTCCATCGGATGTGTCGCAAGATTTCTGTTTCATATTAGACATATGACCAAGTCGAGCGTCTGCGAGGTTTGTTTCAATAACTTGTGTATCTTAAATATTTACCTTGAGTGCATGTAAATATTTTGGCATTCTTTTCAATGTTTCTTCAACAAAATTTTGATGATTTCATTGAAAGCTGTCCTGTGAAAGAAAGACTATTGAGATTTAACCAATTGCAATGGCCTCTGGACCTGCACGACCGAAAAACGAATGGCATGGTTTTATTCGCTTATAATTCGATATGATCCGAGAGTAGAGAATCTATCTTATGATTCATCGGATAATATCACGAGCCATTATATTATCGTATTGAATACAAACAAACACGTGTCAAAACGAAATAATTGTTTACCTGAAGAAAAAAGAACTTTTCATTGTAGGTAATTTGATTGGATTTGTTCGAGAAATTCTGAATTTTCGACAGAGCAAAATTTCAAAGGTTAAATACTTCTGCGTTTTTCTACTGATAAGAAGTCCGTGCCAACGTATATATTTCACTAAATTAGTTGATTAATGCTACGTCTTATGGTGCCGAATAAATGTTCTGGCAACATGAAGATATATCATAATTAAGCATTCATTCAAAATGGTGTTTTTTTCAAGTGCCCAATACTAATAATAGAATGATGTGAAAAAACAAAGTTGTAACTCTATAGGGCGCTTCAGTGTCTATTAAATTCTTTTGTCTTGCTGCCACTGTAAAATAATTGTTGAAAAACTGAAACATGTTGTTTTGTTTTCTCGTATAACGACTCCCAAGGCTTTTATGTATTGATATCCAATGAAAATATTATTCAAATTTTACCTTGACATGTTACGGTTTCGAAAATTTTACGCACCAAACAGAATTGCCATGTACGAACAACGCATGATGTGAAATGCGTATATGTTTTACTCGCCTCGATTATGTCAGCAGATGGGTGTGTGAGTATTAATATCGTTGTTTTTAACTGAATTGTAAGCGTCCCGTGATATTTTGCTGCTCGATCTTTTTCTATGTTAGTAATGACGCTCGTGAAATGTCTCATTTTACCATTTGTGACGATTTTCTATTGAAGTCTGTTCTTTTTCTTGCTATCGAAATTGGCAAGCACCAAAATGACACTTTTACCTAAATAATTTTCACTATAATATTTTATTTCTTCAAGATATAATAGTGAAATTCTCGATTTGTATTTAGATCAAATTTAAATTGATTATATTTCAGGTAGATGAAAACAAAAAAAAACACTTTTAAAACTTTAAATGACAAGTATTACTTCGTTTGTGATCTCCTGATCGTTCTTTTTTCGTGTAAAAAAAATATAAGAAACAGAACATTCGAGTATCGTCATTTCTTTTGAAAAATGAATTAGTCAATCTTACATCGAGCACGCAATCAAGAGAAAGAAAAAAAAAGACGCAAATAGCTATATTCCTTATTGAAGAGAAAGAAAAAGGGAGCAGAGATAGAGAATAAAAAAATAGTGCTCGAAGCTTATTATATCGTGTAGCTATGTGCAAATATTACTTACTTGATTTTTTTATTCTTCAAATAGATATGTGATAATATATATATTGTTGAACGAGCTCTTGAATTAAATACGAATATTAACGGCAAATATGTAAGTCCAATGAAAAACAATCGCATTGCTCATTATTTTATTAGAAATTCTTTATTAGTTCTCTAGCGTATGTAGATATGATGGTGCCACATTGATCGATGAACAGATGTTTCGAATGTGCGCTGAATAGTCCATATGCTTCAGTGTGAATGATCTTGAGAAGAAAAAGAATGTTCCTATCTTTAAAATATTATTTGAATAGAATCGAGTTTTACATCGGTTGTTAAACGAAACAATTAGAAATTAGTCGTATCCCAAGTATATTTACACTAAAACGGTAATGATTCAATATCATATCATCCCTATTTCTAGTTCTCATTGAGTCCGATGATTTTTATTTTTTTGATTGTAACAGTTATAAGAAAGCAAATAAAAGTATCATTTCAACTGTTGTTTTCGTGTTTGTGTGAGCTAGAGTTTGTTCAAGAATCAAATACATACGTAATCCCATCGTATCAATATTTAACTAGAAACAGATCTTTTGTTCTTCGAAGAATTCTACTAGAAGAAAATTTAGAACTTTTATTTTACGATGAATGCAGTCACTAACGATGGACATAAACGCTTAGACACATATCTTGCAAGTGCGAGATGGAGATCAAGCTTTCTTGACTTTCTCAACTCGCTAGTAATCAAGAATCCTAGGCCTTATTGCAAAAAATTTCGACAACAACAAACTATTTTTTCAGATTTTGTTTTACGAGACGAAGCCTTTTTTGTCAGACATAACATGATAAATATCAGAAGCAAAAATGACTCACATCATAACTTTAAAAAGTAGCCAATGTCAATCCCGATGAGTGTAAATTGAGATATATATATATAAGATTTTCTGTTATAGATGTAATCGATATGCACAAGAGGTTAAATTAATACCTAGAATAAGTACAAGGCTAAATTGAAAAAAAAAGGCATAGTCTATCACTAAATATAGATAAATAGCAATTAGAAAAATTTTCCTTGGTAACATGCTAATTGGTTCCATTCGGAAAACAACGATATCCTTGGAAAGATTTTTCATTTCTTCGATTTTGTGGTATACAGTTATATATATATATGAGTTTCACCTACTGGTCAGAGCAAGATGCGTGCATAATCGTTACTTTTTTATCTTTCGAAATGATAATAACTCTATCTCTCAGCACTTTTTGGCCTCCATTTCAGTTATTCAATCAACGATTGATGACATAATTGTTGGCATATGATATAAAAAGAAAAACTTTAATCTTATCGCTCTTTTTTTCTCTACTTGGTTGCAACACGTTCTTGCCACTTTGAGTATGAGCACTGATTTAGCGAATAAAAAGTGTAGTCTTTGAAAGAGGTCAGACAACCAGATGAAGTTTCTATGATATAAGATTGTATTCAATGGAATTGAAGACTAGTGAATGTAATGAAAAAGAAATAAATCGAAAATGATCACCTTGCCGGCTTGTTATTTTTCTTATCGATCACAATCATCGATTCATTATGGATTGTAAATAGAAATATCATTAGTAATTGGAAAAATAGCTGATGAAAATATTCAATGTACCCAATTCATTCCTCATGTTATTGGTTACAACATATTTGTAAATATGTTTTCTCCTGATTCATAATATATTGCGACGATAAGTATTTTTGACTAATAAAAAAAAGAAAATTTTCTGTAAATTATTTGATTTTATCTACCATGATGAACGTTGATTGTCCCTGTATATTACGAGGATATCTAGATAGCTGATAAGATAAAAAGAGCAAATATTTACGATCAGTGTTTTATCTCGGTTTCATTTTTCGGGTGTACGGTTGAAATTTTTGGAGGGGCTGCTGGCTAGAAAATTTGTTATCATATAGTAACGGGTGGCCCATAAAGAATGGCGGTCTCATTATTTACTCGATATCTTTTTTGCTCTTCATTGATTTGAACTGAACATTTTCGCAAAAGATTGAGCATTCAATTCTCTACAAACTCATGTGTAAAAGATTTTTTAAAACTACAAAATGGCTAAGTACTAGAAAAAAAGGTCGAAAAATCTTCAGCTTTCCAGCACTAAATCCGTTTTTTTTTTGAAAATTTGCTTTCCACGTGAGGATCTACAAAAAACTCAGTCTACCATGTTAAAGAGTATCAGATTCTGGGCAAGATTCATGTGTTCGAATCTTTTTTTCGTTACAAAATGAGTAAAAAACTCTGCATCAATTTTTTCGCTTTTTCTAAAAAACACAAATGTGATGTCATGCTTTTGATGCTTGCACTAAAACGCATGCCATTCACTTAAAAAGTGTTATATTTTGACGATTTTTTTTTCTTTGAAAGCCAACATACTCGACTACACCTCTGTACACTTGTTTGAGCAATGCAAAGTTTCGTTTGCAGTAGACTTTCTTGTAAACCGAAATTCAGGCCTCATGGACGAGTTTTCAGAAAATATCGATTTAATAGGCGAAGACCACTTTTAAAGAAATCATTTTCAAATACATTGAAAACAACGTACTTGAAAATACCAGAAAATGTTTCTCCCGTAACTTAAGCCTACGTATAAATTGTCGAAACATACTCCAAGTGTTAATGTATGCTGATCTTGAAAGTTGAAGATTTTTCGACCTTTTTTTCTTCGTTTTAGTACTTAACCATTTTGCAGTTTTAAAAAATCTTTTACACATGAGTTTGTAGAGAATTGAGTGCTCAATCTTTTGCGAAAATGTTCAGTTCAAATCAATGAAGAGCAAAAAAGATATTGAGTAAATAATGAGACCACCATTGTTTATGGGCCACCCGTTACTTTTATGAAATCAACTGTTGATTTTCGGGTGGGCGCCGCCCACCCTGCCCATACAGTAGATAAATCACTGAATTTACGATATTGTATTTTTGTCTATTAAACAACGAAGAAGATTTGTTCGACGTAGAGAATAAGAGGAAGACATTTACGATATTCATCTCATGAAAAGGTTCATCGATTGAATTCTTTACGTTCAATTTGTTTAGTTTACATTTCCTCTTGAATCTATGTAACGATTATTTTCTTTATCTTTTTTTCTTTCTATTTATATGTGTACTTTTGCATAAGACACACATGATAACAAGGTATTGGAGTTGACATATTTTATCTTCTCTTTATACACTTGGTAAACAGTATCGTTGAGTAACTGCATATGACACTATCATTTTTATCAGTATAAAAGAGCCTCGCGGAACAGATAAAAATATTTCTCAGGTTCATTCATTTTCTCATTTGAATGATTATTAAAAAAAGTTTGACCAGTGTCAGATTCGAACGATAGGTAAACATGGAGCATGTAGGATTATACTATTAAATGTTTATCATTTGTATTTTCTAGTAACTATGACGTCCATTATATTTGTTTCTGTCATCACTGGATTAGTGATCGCCATTAGTACTGTGATCGACTACATTTTTTCATTTTTCCAAATAATTTTCAAAAAACCATTAATACCAACAGGTGCAGTGGAAATAGATCCTATAGAACATATATATGCACATCCAGATTGTATAAAAGGACTAAAGGACCATTCTTCATATGATGTAAAAACAGTATATGAAGCATTGCTAAATGGTCTTCGATTGAGCGGTGATCGGCCACAATTTTCATACAGACAATCATCCGATGAACCATTTAAATCTTATACTTATAAGTGAGTTGTGTGTGTGCGTGTGTATAAGATTAATTGCTCATCTCCTTTCTCTTTAGACAAGTATTTGAAATCATCAAAGAAATTGGCAGCGGTGTCGTTCATACTGGTCTTAAACCATCAAATGAAACATTCGTTGGTATTTATTCTTCAGCATCAGTTAATTATGCGCTTTGTCTCTACTCAACTTGGCCATATTCAATGGTACCTATTGGCATTTATGATTCACTGGGTCGTGATGGTGTCAAATTTATTATAACTCAAAGTGCTGTTGAATTGATATTTGCTGACGATTTAACACGAGTGAAAAATTTAATTGAATGGAAAGATGAAACAATATCTTTGCAAACAATTGTTAGTTTTGTTGAACCAACAGAAGACTTAGTTCGATTAGCTGAAGAGAAAAAACTAAAACTTTTGACACTTGATCAATTAAGAGAAATCGGAAGAAACAATCCAGCTGAAGCAGTACAACCAAAACCAAATGATACGGCAGTGATCATGTATACAAGTGGAAGCACAGGAGAACCAAAAGGTAGAAAGATCTATTACATTAGATTTTTTTCGCAGTAAATATTTTTGAAATTAGGTTGCATTATTACACATGAAAATTGTATGTGTGCAATATTTGGACTTTTATCTTCGTTAAATTTATTAAACGTGGGGAAAAAAGAAGGAATTCCTCGAGTATTAAATTATATGCCGTTAGCACATATGTTTGGCTGTGGTACGGTGATTGCTATCAGTTATTTAGGTAAAGTCGATATTTGAATATTTGTCAAGTATTATTTCAATTTATTTTGTTATAGGAGGTGAAGTTGGTTTTTGGCAAGGTAAAGTTGAAAAATTAGTCGACGATTTTCGTGATTTTCGACCAACAGTTCTTGCCATGGTGCCACGTTTATTGAATAAATTGTATGATAAAGTTCGATTAGAATTACGCAAAAAAGGTGTAATTGGTCGTGTACTATTTCAATTGGCTATTCGAGGTAAACTGGCACTCATTCGACGAGGAAACTTTTCTCAGAATACTATTTGGGATAAAATCATTTTCGACAAAATTCGTCGATCCTTTGGTGGTAAAGTTAATCGTGTTATTTCTTCAAGTGCACCGCTTTCAGCTGAAGTTTGCCGTTTTTCACGTTCCGCATTTTCATGTCTATTTATGGAATGCTACGGACAAACAGAATGCGTCATTGGTTGTTCACAAACACTTAATGACATGGAATCAGGCGAAACAGGTATTCCAACAACAATGAATTATATTAAATTAGTTGATGTACCTGAGAAAGAGTACTATGCTAAAGATCGCATTGGTGAAATTTGTCTTAGGAGTCCAGCTGTATTTAAAGGCTATTTAAAAGATGACGTTAAAACACGTGAAACAATTGATGAACAAGGCTGGCTACATACAGGTGATATCGGTCGATGGACAGCACATAATACAATGAGAATTGTTGACCGCAAGAAGAACATGTATAAGGTTAGAATGAATAGTTTTTCATGTTGGCTATTTTTATTTTTGAATGCTATACGTATTCAAAGCAATACTTTATAACTATCAAACGTATACATTGCAGAAAAGAGCGCTTTCTATCAAATACAATCCAGTTTCAGATTTCTATCGTCATTATTGTACAGACAAAAAAATGTCTTTCTGTGAGCTGAAATGATTCTACGGAATTTTCCTTGAAAACGAAAATTTCTCCACGACGATGGTAACATTCTTATGAATTAAAGTATATCAAATATATGATAAGAATCATAAAAGAAGTAGTTAAATATCAACTTGAATGAGGAGAGGCCAAAGAGTTTCTTCGTAACAGATTGAAAACAAATCGTAATGTATCTTTATCTCTTTCTCTGTTATAGCTAAGTCAAGGAGAATATGTGGCTCCAGAAAAAATCGAAGATGCTTATTCGCGTAGTCGATTTATTTCTCAAATATTTGTTTTTGGCAACTCATTTGAACATTTTCTTGTTGCTATTGTTCTATTGAATGATGAATTTATAAAACAATGGGCTAAAAATGAAGGATATGATTATCAAAGAGCTTTATCGTCGGAAATGGAGAAGAAATTAAAACAAGTTGTCCTTGATGATATGACTCGTGAAGGCAAAAAACGTGGCTTAATGTCCTATGAACAAGTTAAAGTCATCGAATTTATCAAAGAACCGTTTACAATGGAAAATGGACTTTTAACTCCCACATTCAAAGCACGCCGATATGCTGTAGAAAAGAAATATAAACAACTCTTTAAAAAGATTTATAAAAATGCTCAAGATTGATTTGCTTTCTGTAATTTTGCTATATTTAATCGAAAAAAAAAAGAAAAAAAAAAGAAGCTCTATATTTTGTGTTCAGTAGTGAAAAGAACACTCATGAATTCCATTATAACGTATATAATTAGTTAAGACTGATTCCGTTGCGCTTCTAGTCGAAAAATGTTAAAAGGTTCAATAATAAATAAATCAGAGAATTCATAGATTTAGTCACAAGATCTTGTTTTCGTTCATATTTGCCAATCCATATGTTACAATTTGTACGAAATACTTTTTCTATATTGAATATGTTTGATCTATGATGTCATATTATTAGTTGTCGAGACCTTATGAACAATGTCAACAGGTACTTAAGGAGATACAAAATTTCCAAGAAGCTTTTTTTATTGATAAAAATTCGTTCTGATTTATTGGGAATATTCTACTGATGACAGTCAATATATTGGAACACAACAATGATGCGCAAGTTTTGTTTTCTCTCTCTTATTCTTTTCTTTCGGTTATCAAAAGTAGAACGAAAGGAGTAAAAGACAACCGACATTATCCATCTAAAAAATCATACGACGGATAAACATTCATCCATTCATTCTTTCATACAAATATAGATTGACATCAACAGAACTAAACAGAGAAAGAGAGAGAGACAAACAAAAACGAAGAAGAAATTATAAGAATGATGTTTCTGTCATTTCGTAGTGTTGGTTTTTATTTGCGCGTCCAATAGTCTTGAACAAAAACAAAAATCAATATTGTATTAATCATTAAAAATAGACTTACTTTCAACTTGCATACCACCGATTGTATCCAAATTATTGAATCCTTTAGATTGCTCATGTGGCATTTGTTGACCCATTGTATTTAACATTTCTTTGAATTCATCGGGATCAAGCATACGAAAACGCTTGAGACGATAATCAATTCCAGGTCGAATTCGTTGATGCATTCGAAGCCTTTTAGGAGATATGCCTGTTGATCGAAAAAGACTCGGTGAATTTTTTAAATCTTTAGAACGCATGTTCTTTCGTAAGTGACGAACACGTGAACTTGAATGAAAACGTGAACTGTCGATCAACGGTGGTTGGTCGACAGTTGATGACATTGAACGTTTTATTCTACCGGCACCTGTGTGTTTATTATTGACTGAGAAATAGAATACATCACCTTTGAATGTAGCCAAGTTGTCATGGATTGCCGATGTCTATAAGAAAATAAGCAAGTTTTATTATGGATAGGAATATACCGTCGTCATATCGCAATTTCCCTTGTGTTTGTTACAGCTTAAATACTAAAAATTCAAGTGAACTCTATAGAGAATAGTATACATAAGCATTATATTCGTTTTATTGAAAATTAGTCATTGCATCAAACATATTTGCAATAATATATGTAGAATTACGAATTTTCTTGCATGTCTATTTAGCTCTTGAGTGTGCTCTCGCAAAACTATCAATTAATCATCATTTTTGCGTCTCTTTTTTTCTAAGAGAAACCAATATCGTATAAGAGCTTATCTTCTATCTTGCGATTACAATCGTTTTCATCACTAACAAATAGAACGGATGTTTTTTTGACATTATTATATTCGTTAGAATGTCGTGTTTTTTAATCTGTAGATTGACAGATAATGAATTATTCCGCAGACTCAAGCTTTTTATTCATTTATTATAATCAAAGAAGAAAAACAGTAGTCAATTTATTATCTTTTCTTCATTACGATTTCCTGAATTCAGCCAGAAACAGTCACCGACATAAAAAAAAAAAACTAACGATTATTAGCATTATTATAAAACTTTAAAACGAACAATCGGATTTCTAGATTTTCTGTGTTATGAAAACGCATATTCGTTAGAATAATCTATACAGAAATCACAACCAGAGATCTGAGACCCGCCGAGTCACTCGCCTATATTTAGAATGTTATTTTTAATGAATAAATAGCAAATTGATGTCGCCATCTTTCAATTTGATGGTTAATTCTAGATGTACTCGTTTAAATCCACAACAAATAAACAACTCATTGTTGATACTTTCAGTAAAAAAAAATGAATGATTGTTATTTATTTATTTTGTAATTTTCTTATTTGTTTTTCTTTCAACTTATCTATATTTATTAAGCGTATTCAATGTGATATAATGAAATAAAGAACTGTACGTATTGTCGGTAGTTGGAATAACTACCTAAAAAGATCTTTATTAAGGCAGGTCACCGACGAGGCGAGGCGGTGGCGAGTCGTATTTTTAACTGATTCGCCGATCTCTGGTCACGACATTCATTAATAAAATTTAATCGTATTACAAATATGCTAAAGCTCAGTAAGATATTTCTCTCAGGTCACACAGAAGAGTATATCAAAATTTTCGATATCAGTTCAAGAAACAAATACTGAATACTGCTGAATCATGTATTCTTCGATGAACTTCTTGCATGACCTTACATGTCTGATGAAAGTACCCAGTTGCTTTTTTTGTCGCAAACAATAGGTACGATGGAAAATACTCAGAAACTCTTCTAATAAAATAATCAATAATCTGGTGATTAGTGTTAAAGCCTTTTTTAAATGTAACAATAACAACAGCGGTGTTTATATGGCTGCAGCTTGACATCCGGGAATGATTTAGCACAAAATATTTACCGGTGCAATGTCGGTGGCTGCTGCTTGGCGAATAATAGCAACGAACAAAAACAGAATATTGATGAATAATGTTAATTTAAGAATTCCACTGAGCATGTTTTTAAAATTTAGTGAATGATGAAGCTCGATAATCTAGAAAAGAGAAAACAAAAAAAAGGAACGATTTTAATTAAAAACAAGCATATACGCGAATCGACAATGGCAAAATCTAACCCATAAATATCGATGATAATGGAATCGGACTCGAAGCTCTATCTTCTCAATTTATCTTCTCGTAAATGCCCTCAGTTTGCTTCGTTTTTCTTGCCATCATTGAGAATCACTTAATTCTAAGCGCCATAAAGGGATGGCTGTCTTTTTTATTGTCTAATGTAAAAGACCAGTCTGAATTCTACTGTTCTCTATTACTGTCGATTTCCTATAATTTGCCCTAAGCTTAAGAGCTGCATTCAAGTATTTATTTTCTCTGACATTCAACCTACACTTTTAACTCTACACTAAGATATTTGTTGTTTCTCTCTACTGAATCTGAATATCTGATAGAGAGAATCAACTGGAAACAGAAACATACATTCTGCTTAAGTAATGATGTAAAAGTCACGCTTGCCAATTCTAATTAGAACGATTTTACAAAAGAAGTATGCGTGCATATTTCTCATTTTTCCTAATCCTTGTCAATAAATAGTATGTAACTCGATGGAGTGACTCATAAATAGAGAGCGAAAGATTGCAATAGGATCATGGTGAATAGAAAGAAAGAAAGACATGGCTGTTTTTTCCCTAATGAACAATATATGCTAAACTTCATTGTCGTTCAATGATCTAAAGAATTTCACTTCTATTCTTTTTCATTTCTTCTTGATCGCGAGCAATGTCATTGTTATTTCTCTTGATCTAAAGTGACAATTATAAGGCACGAGTAATAACGAAAAAATCGTTAGAAAAATAAATCCTTGTAGCGAAGCTTGAAAGAAGAAGTCTTATCGAAGATTACCGAATTAAAAAATAATATTCACTAAACTTTTAGCTATTGTTTTCATGATTAGGAAATATCTACCAAAAGAACTGATGTATCGACAATCGAGTTGAAAAACGCTTTTTGTATAAACCAATTAACTAATGCATTTTGCATGTTGCTAAGCTTTCATCTGAATTTCCTATTCTAGAGCCATTAAGAATCGAATCTATTTCTATAAATAATGCACAATCAAACGCAAGAATGAATGAAGCATGCTACGAAGAATTACTTCCGACATCGCTCAATGGATCTCATTCTTTTGATTTTAATCTTCTCTTTTTCTATATTTACCAAATATCTACGCACTGATTAACCACCTATCAATCATCAGTATATTATTAGATATTTTGTAAATAAATTTAAAATCTTTTTTTTCCTTTCGAAAGATAATGATGAGCGCATGCCAATGATACGATTAACAGCTACGATTAATCGTATGCAAAAGAATACCACCGAAATTTGTTTAAGCCAGTCATGTAGATGATGACTATATAGTGTATCTTAGTTCAACATTGAAAAGTTTTCATAGCAGTATTTTGTCAACCTGATGAAATTTTCTGCAAATAAAATTTGAACATAAATAATTGTCCCATAAAAACAAGCACTGTACTTTTCGCTTATATCTCCAGAATATATGCATAAGTATCTGGTTTTAGTTCGTGTTTTTGTTCTAATTTAAATAAATCATTATGATTGACGTTATCAACCGTGAATGCACGACCTAATGATGTTGTTCCAAACAAGCCAAGCGTAGTTACAGTAATACCAACAGTATTTGAAGAAACAACTTATTATCTGCGGTATCACCACCAAATTTTTGTTTTCCAAGACCTATACTCAGGGGTGCCCCGGCTGAGGGGGGGTGGGGTTTAACCCCCCCCCCCCCCCCATGTTCGAAAAATTGTCTTGCATTGTGTTTTACAAAATAAAACTTATACTATCTTAAGCGTGATTTTATAAGTTATTCTCAGTATTGGCAAATGTTGAACTCCAAAATCCTCAAAAAATGAGGTAAAATTGTGAAAATGCAGAAATTTTCAAAATCGTGGAAGATCTGACAACACTGGTTATTCTCCCTCAGCATTTTTGGAAAGTAGGATTTTATAAGCTACCTCCCCCCTCCCCCAAGTTTTGCTTTCTCGCAACACCCGTGACCCTAGAATTTTGAAGGAGAAAATTTTTACACCCCCCAAAGTTGGAAGGGTCGGGATACCCCTGCCTATACTACTATCGTCATGCACATCATTAGCAATCCATTTTAAATAGCTTTATTAATGAAATAAGTAATAGATTAGTTTCACTACTTTACGTATTTGATAAGTCAATACCGCCAAGAACCGCACGAACAAATATGTACTTCTATCGTATATTGAGTAGTACCTCTAATAAGTTCTGAGAAGATTTTGTGACTTTTACCTTTTATTATTTTTATATTTTCCTCGAACATCTGAATACTAATAAGGAGTATACGAACCGGAAAATGCGGAAACAAAATAAAATCACCGGCGTCTTTAGCAGACGATGCATGCCTTTTAAATAGTCTATACATGAACTACTAATTTCTTGCCTGCCTATATATAACACAAACCATTGCTTTTGAATCAGGAAATAATTGCGAGATTGTCACGTAATCATTTTATAAATTCATCACTACATTCTTGTCAAAATAATTATGATATGATAAAAATAATTGATATCATCATATGTATGTAAGTACTTCGAGAACATAGATAACATTACAAGAGGGAAAACGCGTATTTCTGTATTTCCAAGTATTTCAGAAATCCAGAAATCCATCGAAATACTCAGAAACATTTAGAAATACGCTTTTCCCCCTTGTAACATTATTATCATTTCATTTATATGCTACTGCTGTTATGAAACTATTTCTTGAATAAGATAAAAATCCATCAGTATTATACAGAATTAAACACCTCGTTCCTAGAAATGAACCACATACTGCAGTCAAATATTCTTTTAGTGGTTTACTCAGTATTCCTTTGAGTACATCATTATCAATGTATAGACTAAAATGATGGCTGAGTTTTATGTCTGGTAATGTATCTTCTGGAATACCACCGAGTCTAGACACACACTTAGGCAATAGTTTATTTTAAATTATTTATGAATTTTTTGTTTACTTACTTTTAAAGGCGTAAATATTGTGGCAGACTTTGAATGCTAATGAATATGTTCCCTAAGAAAAAAATTTTTATTCGTCTTACTAAACAGATAGAAAAGGATAATGATGTTTTTAACATTTGTTTGTTAATATTATCAACGATAAAAAGAAGATTCTTCTTGACAAAGTATGTTTAATTTCCGTTTTCAGTAGCAATAGAGTTGCTCTTACAGCTTAGGATTTATTACATCCGTTACACGAGTTAGATACTTGTCGATCGAAAGAAAATTCTAGGTTATATCAATATATAATATAATATATATTGAAAATTATTTACAGCTGTTTCAAATAGACATCGTATTTCATTAAACAACTAGTTATTTATGTCAGAAAAATATGTTGATATTGATAAATCGTATTGTTGTTCCTTTTGATAATCCCTCGGTAGAAAAAAAGATTAATCAACTAATTTCGAGGCAGTTTTTTTTCACTTTATTTTATTGATTGAAAAGAAAATCGACTGTTTCTTCTGAATGTATTTCTAACTATAAAAAAAAACCATCATAGAACACTTTTCATGTTCATTTTCCCCATAAAATCGTTTCTTGACGTTGTGTCTTTAAAATTTTCTATTCATTCTGAATCCTGTAAGTGTTCAATCTAGATAGGTTTTTAGTGCGAATACTATATGTAAATGTTTTCCTATGACAAAAAAAAAACTTCGAGACAATGATGTTTTTTGATCAAAAGCATCAACAAAATTTTTATTTTATTATTAACCAACTAAGAGGAAAACATATAAAATGAAAGAGCGCAGTCTATTGCGGTTGAATATTTTACTTTTCGTTTTCTAACATTAGAGATTCGACTGAGCAAACAAAAGCAAACAGAGAAAAAGAAACGCTATATCACAGCAGCGAAAATAAATAATTCACAATGAACTAGAAAATAAAATCAGATCAATTGGTTGCATCCGTTCGAGATTTAGATTGATCATACACATCTTTTAGCCATTTCAATGCTTCATATGAACGTTCATAACTTATTTCATGTTCAGCGTAAATTGTATTTAAAAGTTCAATAATTTGATCTTTGTGCTTCTTTAAATCATTAAATATTTCTTCAGTCGTACTGTCATCAATGGCTGAAGGAAATAGAAATGCTTGCCACTCAATTCGACGGCGTGGATTGTACATTAGATAACTACGACCGTTCAGCCAGCGGTTTCGATGTAATCGCTTGAATAAATAATGTGACGTGGAAGAGTTTAATGATGGAATGCGTTCACGGAATGTTGCACTGGTTATTCGCACAGGTTCAATACCCAACGTATTGACAGAAATCTTCTCTTCGATAAAAATTTGTTGCGTAGTGTTTATGCGATCCTCAGAAGCAAATTCAATATCACGTAACATCTAATAAGAACATATATACAGTCATGAATATTTATAGAGTATGCCTTTGGATGAGAGAGATGTAGAGCTAGCCCCGACTCCAACAAGAGGGGCAACGGAAGACTCCTGTACTCTTGTAGAAAAGAAATTCTACGTGATTCTCCTCTAAACAGGAGCCGACAATGGAAAAACTAGAATTCTCAGAACCGAAAAAATATGGTTCCACACTTCTCTACTTTGGGTTATTCTTAGTTATTGTATGCAATTGTTTATACGAAAGATATTTAATAAATAGTTTCTATTAACTCAGCATCCTATCAGATCGGGTTCGCTGAGAAAAATATTTTTCAAGGAATTAAAATTCGTTGTGATAAACATTGGCATATTCAGGTGAACCTTGTTGAATAATTTGCAAAGCTTTATTATCCTTGAGTATGTCATGCATAATGTGAAAGGTGATGCGAGTGCATCTCTCAACTCAATAGAGTACAATTTGAGCTACTTGAAAGTTATGAAACAATTGCTATAAAATATTTTAATATCAAATGTAATTAATCTTATGTATAGTATAGCCAAAAGGATCGAAATATTCTTCTACATTAATCATATTTTATTGATTTTTATCGCAATGTCTCTATATTTTTTTCCTTCCCACTATCTTCATATCTGTTACATATATCATTAAGATGTAATCGCGTTGACAATAAAATAGAGCATTTTGTACATTTTAGATCGACGCCACTACTTAAAGACTAATGATACGCTGCCCATATAACAAAATAAATAAATGAGCTAAGCAGTCACTTAATGATCCAGCTAAGTAGAGGCCTGAGAACAAATCTTTTCAAAATTTTCATGCGATATCGAAAAGCCTTGCATCGAGAACGAGCGATTATAGTTGCCAAATTTACATAATTTATGCATGTATAATCTCTACAAGTATCAGCTTTATTAGTTGAAATAGAGGAAAGTAGTTTTTTTCAATCTGTTAGATTATGTAAGTCAATAAGATTGTTCCGGCGGTACGTATTTTGGGCTGAATCTTCGAATAGAAATGAATTCGTAAATAAAAGCACATAGATTATTTCGATCGCCCTAGTCTAATAAAAAACGACCTTTTTTAAAGATAATAAAATTCACTATGAGATTATATCAAAGAGTAAGAGAAACAACAAATAATATTACAGGTAACTGAATAACCTTTCACCAATTATGTGAAAAAAAAGTTGGTCATAAATGCATTTCGAATACTAAAATTACGATAAACCGGTTTTATAGAGAGCTCCGATCTTAAAATCAATCTATCGTGCATCAGAAAAGTAAAAGCAAACCTACAGTAAATGGAACTGGACAGGTATTTTACTGTCTAGATCGCAGTGTAACGCTTGGCTCTTCAATAGTCTAGTCTTTGATCAAGTAGCTGTGCGAATAGTTTACAGCAAAATAACAGAAACCCTGTTCATCAAATGTAAAACTATAAAAACGCAAAACTAGAGTAAATAATCAATGTCTAGCATGACAAGTTTTCTCCGAAATATCTACTGTAAAATAGCATTCATAAATTACAAATAATCTTTCCTAATTCAAAGGGAAATCTCTGGCAGTAGGTGAAATGCGATGGTAGTATATTATAGGAATCACTGAAAATTTTGTCAATGCCATAATAGCAAGTAGTAATAAATGAACAAACATACAGAAGTAGCGACGCAGAAAATAACCAATGTAATGCCGTCAACCATGACGTCGGTTTCATTCAGAAATGAAATGTTTTAGAAAGGTTAATCAGCTCTGGTTCAACATTTAATGACTCAAATAACTGTTGGAACACATAAGATAACTGTTAAATGCATATTGAATAGCATCGATAATTCGGATATTATTCCTCCTTTTCTGTCAAACAACTGCTATTCGAATTCTTCTTGAACCTATCTAAGAAAATTAAGTTTTACATACACGTATCCAAACAGTTGATGGGTATTTGTTTGCTTTAACACGAGTATATAAAATTTCTGGATGTATAATTGAAATGAATAAAACCTGCCCATGAATCCGATAACGCTGATTAGTAACAAATATACTTGAAAATACGCCACCACTAGATGAACCAAATGTAAAAATTGGCAAAAGAGCTTTTGGAAAGAAAACAAAAAACGAAATTGGTGGGTACACATCAAAATCTCGTGATTACCTAGAGTAGGATTTTCTTTATAAAAGCCGTCAAGTCCTTTGAATACCATTTTCGCATCTTTATTCTTATGAATATCAGCTTTATTTGACCAGCATCGAGTACTATTATTTGTTGCTTGAAATACTAAGCAAGCATAGCCAAGATCAATAGCAGCACCAATAATACGCTGCCTCTCAGAAGTATGAAACCAATCATGAGCTGTATGTCTACAGCTATGAAATATGATTAGTATTGCTGATATTGCAGTTTTTTGTGGTAACCGAAATAAGATTTCAATATTATCGTTATATATTGCATTTTTATAAGTTAAACTTTGAGGTATACGATAATCAAAATCATTATATTTAAGATAGTAGTCAACATTAATCGAATTTATTTTACCAGGAAAGTCTTTTGATTTATAAAATTCGAACAAGTCTCTTAATGATGTTGGATGTTCAATCTCTGATGGACCGCCGGAAAAAAAATAAGATAAAGCTTCACGAAGATAAGTTGAACTTGCATAAAATGATACTGAAAAAGCCGAAAATCCGGCGAAACAAATAACAAAAGAAATGATCACATAATGAAAACATTTCAAACGCGACAGCGGAACATTTGATCGTTTAGGCAGCCGTTGACGACCCATTCCATGAAATTGTTAATTACTTCTATCCTATACTATATAGATCGTTTATCTATATTTATTAATGAATTTAATTTTTGTTTCAGATCAGATAAATTACTTCTATTGCATGGTTCAGCGAGTGACGACAACGACTATCTTTTCGAACGAAGTTCAGTTGGATGAATCAAACACCAATGTCAAGCATAAGATGTCGACACATTTCGCTCGAGGTAATAACTGGATAGACGTATGATGTTTATTTGTTGATTATTTAACCCTTTCTAGTTCCTATCAAGTGACATTTATTATTTGAATTCGACTAATAAAACGTCTATTTAGATATGTCAATGATGAAGTTTTTACTATTGTCTAATTTTCGTTAACATATTTATTCAGTCCTATTATTATTATTATTATTTGGTGTTTACAACAGTCTTATTAATTCACAATGGGTGGACGTTTAACCACCGCACCATCGTCATCATCGACAACGGCACATCAAAATCCGGTTAATGATTCAGCAACAAATTTATCACATGTGCGAGCACACGCAAACAGTACAAATCATCATTCCCAGCCTCATCGTCATCGTTCAAGTAGCGGTCATCATAATTCACATGGAATATTCCGTAATAATCCATCAAATCATAATCGACATCGTACAACATCAAATATTGATCCATCGGCGGCTGCATTTAATTTAAATTTATTACGTTATGTTGGTATTGAACACGAGTCCGATGATCAAAGTTCAGATGATGACTCACCACAGGCGCGTCGGCGTCTACAACGTATATTGATCGCACTTCGTGATGCTTCGTGTCCTGTATGTAATAAAACAATTCCAAATGATTCCTTTGATAAACATATACTTCAATGCTTATCCAAACCACGTATAGATTATAATGGTTTGTTTTCGAAGATTTTAGTTTTCTTTTAAACTTAAATTTCAAAATCTTTTTCTTATAGAAGATACACTAACTGAAAATAAAGGTGAATGTGTCATATGTCTTGATGATTTACTTGAGGGACAAAAAATTGCTCGATTGCCATGCCTGTGTATCTATCACAAAAGGTAAAATTAAATCTTCTAAATAGAAACTAATCGCTCGACTACAATCAACATGCGTCACAAGACGAAATCTTCTTAAGTTCAATAGTTATACTTTACAAAAGCAAACTTTTCATTGACGTTATCCTGCAGATGTCTATAAATACTAAAATAATAAAAATATCGTGTAACTCAATAGATGTTAATTTATTCTTTTTTTTTTAAGAATGATTTTTATTTACTATATTGGAATTTGACTGATGAAAATTACAGCCAATTAGAACAATATGTATAATAGGTAGCTATGGAAACATTCAGTACGCTCAAATGATGATGAGGAGCTGGTTAGTATATAGGTTATCGTTTGCGTGGAATTCCGTTTAGCATCTAACTAGTAAATGACAATGAATCTATTCCAGATGACATATTTCATTAGTTAAGTTAATGTTTCCTATGAAAAACGTGTGTTAAATCAGTAGGCTACAGTTTGCGTGATATGAATTGACATTATGAAAACGATTTTATGAGAGACTTAACTTTTCATTATTGTTGAGTATGACGCGTAGTACTTTAGTAGATGATTTCGTATGCTATTAATGTTTTATCAAGTAATTAAAACTATTTCAAAAGACATCGGAGAGAATCAATGTGACTGTATAGAAATTTTTATTTTCCTATTCATTTTTTAGTTGTATCGACAATTGGTTTCGCATTAATCGGTCATGTCCTGAACATCCCGGCGATTGAAAATTTGTACACTCGTAATTATTTTTTTTCTTCTTCGCCTTTAAGTTTGTTTTGTTTTCATTCGTTTTTCCAATTGGATATGTTCGCTGCGAGCGTATGTATAAGCACGCATCGGTTTTCTTTCAAGATTTTTTTCTGTTCCCGTCGCTTTGATTGTCTGTTTCCTTTTTTTCTCATGCATCCAGCGTTTAAAAACGCATTGATCGTCATTTTTTTCCCTTTGTTTATGCACTATCGTATATGAACAGACGGATATTTTGCAGAACACCAAAACGTTGATGCAGCATGCGAGTGAATATTTATTCTGTGCGTGTGATGACATTTCTTGTTTTCTTTATCCCTTTGTAATTCAAATGTTTTACAGTGAAGAACGAAACACCATTTTCTTGCTTATTTTTGTACTTAAGACTGAAAACAACAAAGAGAAGAGATTTGATTTTGTATAAATGTGTCTTTCAGAACCCTATTATTTGTCACTGCATCAATTGAGTGATATCTATGAATGTGAAAATGAAAGTATTAAGCGCATAGAGTTTCCCGATTTCTAAGATCGATCTATATATATTTTTTTCTTAATGTTCTTTGTGCATGATTGTCTTTTTCTTGTTGACGAATAAAAACAAAATTGCCAGTGTGTGTATTTGATCTTTTCTTTTTGTTGTTGCTGTGTTTGTTCCTATTATTATTATCAATATGTACAATATTGGCCATTTTTCTCTTCATCTTTTTCTCAAATATTATTTCTTTATTTGGCTTTTTTTACAAAAAAAAACAAAATAAAGTCTAGCTGACCAAAAACAAATATTATATAATATCCATTTTAGCAATTATATAACATGACATAGTCGTCAAACAAGGTGCATAAGTCAGTATAGAAAAAGAAACGACAAATATACTTTATCTTGAATATATAAAAGAAACAGAATAGAATTCACATTCGTTGTTTTATCTTTACCCACGATGTTTTACGATTGGAATGCTTTTTTGCGAGGGACTATTACCGGTATATTGACGTTTGCAACGATACGTCATGTATTATCGAAACTGATATCATGCAAAGACGAACGACACCGATGGAAGCAAGTTAATGTGGTAACATCATTTATTCATTCAATTTTGTCATCTTTGATTTGCATTTATTGGTTAGTGAAGAATTGAAAATCACGTTAAATATCAATAGAATTTTCTTTAGTGCACTGGAAAATCCTAAAATGTTAACAACAGAAATGATATCATCATTTACATCGAATGCCTACTCATATGTATCGTTTGAAATAGGTTTGAGGATTTTTACAGTAGTTGCTAGCCTTTTAAATAGAAAATGAATTCTTTAGGTTATTTTATCTATGATTCAATGGATATATTAAGAAAATCAATTAATAAACAAACATATGAATATCTTCTACATCATTGCGTTGTAAGAGTTAAACTATGCGTATCAAAATAATGATTGGCAATGTCATTTCTTACATTTAGGTTATTGGATGTTTTGGTATTTCAGTTTGCCGCGGTCAGTTCATTGGATATTGTGTTCTTAGTTTATTTATTGAAATTAATAGCATATTTTTGCATTTCCGACAATTACTCGTATTTTGGAATATATCTCGAAAAGAGAAAATTTTTCTCATTAATTCATTTCTGAATTTCAGTAAGTTTTTTGTTTTTTCTATACTTATTATCTAAATAGTAGTTAGTCTCAGTGTTTTCTTCTTTTACAAAACAATACTTTTCGCGTGATATTCACTATATGGAAATTTTTTAATCTACTATCTATTATATCGTTCATTATTTTAGTTACATTTATTGTCTTCCGCTTCGGTATTATTACATATATGTGCATTTGGTTAGTAAACAATCGTTTCAACGTCCTATTCATTTTTTATATAATTGGTCAATCAGGATTGTTAGCCATGACAATAATAAATATATGTCTTTTCTATCGATTGATAAAAAGTGGTTCTACATAGATTTTTAGCATTTATTTTATATTTCGTCTTTTTACCAAACTTTTTTCTTCTTTATAATAAATATGATAAAAGAACTATTCTTCATCATTCATAAAATTATTGTTTGTTGTTGTTGTTAATCTTGAACATTGATCCGATGCCTTTTCTTTTCTACTTTCCAGTTTTGCTATTCTTGAACCGAATTGTATAGCACGTTTTGGATATTTTGATGATTGTTCAAGCGATAGATAATGACGAGCGACATAACGAAGTAAATATTTTTCACCGATGCCACGTGCTAAACGTAGATCAGCTTTCAACCAAATAGGTATTGAATGAAGATAGTTAACAAATTGTTCATCGAGAAATGGAAAGCGACCTTCTTTACCTAAACTGCTGATTACACTAAACAAACAAACGAAAAAGCAAAGCTAAGAAAATGAAATCTGTATTTAATATTTACCGATCATCACGTCCTAAGTTTCGTTTTGAAATTCGATTCATTTCCATATCAAGTTCATTTTCTAGTGCTTTCCACCCACCAGTTTGAAATGTGCTACGATGTCTAGAATAGCCCGCTAATTGTTCATCTGCACCCAAACCAGACAGTAGTACCTATTATATTCGAGTCAATTTAATGAAAGTATACCACATAGATGGCGCTGAATAAATAGAGCAAATGCTTTTGTTTGACACAAGGTCATTGTGTAAAGAAATCTCCCTTGTGCTTTTTCTATGTGATCAGAGATCAAAATATAAAAGCCCAAAATTTTTCAAAAAATTCTAGAGCACTCGTCTGAAACAAATTCGCATCAATTATTCATTAGATTTTCAGAATGAAAATTCAAAAGTCGAATGCTCGATTTATTCAGCGCAATATCTTTGATCTATCATGAATCAATTCTATTTACTTCTGCTAAACTTTCATATGGTATATTATCTTGATGAAGAATTCCATTACCACGAGCAGCAAACCAGAGAGCACTACCAATGCTATCATCTAATACTGTTGAACATGGATATAGAACATTTTTAATAATACTTTCACGATAATGTTGTAATTCATTTAAATTAATATCGATCTATTATAATCAAGAACTAACAAGTTGATTTTAAAATCATGCGAAAAAATTTTTTACTTTTACAAAATTCCAACGTCGTTCTGGATTCAGTTCAGCGAGAGCTTGTAAGCCTAAATGAAATAATCAATTCAATACACTTGAATTTGTCTGGTGTCTTAGGCTTTAGTTGAATAAAAGTTAATCAGTAGAATAGAAGTTTTGTCGAACGACTAAGTCGAAAAGTATTTCGACTAAACTAATATTCATAGCTCTCTCAGAGCAAATATTTAAGTAAACTTCTTTGATTTACTGAGCCATTCTAACATTTCGATCAACTTCGGCATTGTTCCCTTAAGTAGAAAGGAAAATATGTGCAATAGAATCCGACTTATAGAAAAGAACTTGTAATTCAATATTCGATTATGAAATAAATAAAAAACAGAGATTGATTTCAGTTTAGTCAAAATATTTTTTCGATGACTCACTTCATTACAGTAGTGAGCACTCGAAAACTCTTTGTTGCTCACTTGTTGACTCAATATAATACATATATTACCTGTTTGTCGATCTGCTGGTGGTGCTGATACAGCAGAGAAAAAAGCTACATTAAGTAAATCAATAGGTTCATTGATCGGTAAAACTCGATCAACTAAAGCAGCAAGTACAGTCGAATCAATACCACCGGAAAAAAGTATTGCTAATTTAGCATGTTGACATCCATCTAATGGTCGAAGAATACTATCAGCGAATTGTTTACATTGGCGACAGAGTGAAGGTATATTTATGACACGTCGTTGTACAGCATTTTGCAATTGATTGAGAAATATTTTTGATACAGTTTGAAATTCAGAATTAGATTCGAGTTCATTCAATAAAGTATCTGGTGGATCGCGAACAATCCTATCAATTGAACGGTTGACATATGGTATGAAATCAATTTTAAATGTATGATCAGCGTCTATGACTGTTAATTTGTGAAGTATGTTCGAATCGAGTTCTGTATATGACTATGAATATAAACGCGATTAAATTATAATGACAAAAAGATAATGCCTCACAAGATTATTCAGTTGAACAGAACTAAGAATCATTTTTATATTTGATGGAGGGTCAGTTTCTGTGGAATACAATAAACTACGACGTCCTAGTCGGTCTCGTCCATAATATAAACTATTGGTTTTTTTCTAAACTAAACAAAATGATGATTTATGAACGGAGACAAAAAAAAAAAAGGATCATTTATTCATTCATTGGTTCATACTTGAAAATAGATAAAAGCAAAACATCCTTCTAATGCTGAGATTAAATTACAAATATCTATATCAGTTGAACATCGTTTCAAATGTTGAGATAAAACTACACCATCATTATCATCTGCACTGATCTGTAAATAAACAGTAAACCAGTTAATTTTTTGTTATAGAAAGTTAATTTATAAACAAACTTGTAACGCTCCTTCATATATTTCACCATTAAGCAAAAGTATATTTCCATCTTCATCAATAAATGGTTGTTGTTGCTGTTTATAACCTCGAAGAGCAAGTACACTAACAGCGAATGTAACATACAGATTAGATGTCAGTGATATAGGTCCATGTTGAGTTTGAAAATCAGGACCACGTGCATTTAATGGTGTATAATCAATCGAAAGCGGTGTTGACTAAAATGAAATATAAACTACAGGTTGTTTTCTCATGAGCAAAATGTATCATAAGATGTACTCAATAGATGATAGATAATACTTCAGCATTCACAGTGGTCATACAAAAACCCTTTATGACTACAAGTTCAACTATAAATGCTTAAACGATTCTATCATATAATAGAAAAGTCACTAAGTAAATCCATTGAATGTTTTAGGGAGAAATGATTATCTAATTAAAACGATATTTTCGTTACCTGTGTATGAAGACAAAAACATATACCACACATGATTCTAAAGACAAATCTGCAAAAGTAAATTATTTTCAAACAGACTAAAATAACCAAGTTAATTTTTTATTTCATCATTTTACTTTTTTTTGTATTATAACGTTGAAATGATATGATTCATCACTATCGACAAAACTCTTTTGATGGCTGGCCAAAAATAAATAGAAGAAGAACCAATAGAAACTTCATTGTACGAAGGATGTCGTTTTCGGTCAATAAAATAAGGCACAACTTAATGTGATTCTATTGTCAATAACTAACTTCCTAAAAAACAACTCTTCGTGAAAAAATCAAAAGATTCTTGCAATTTCTATAGAATAAGAATTCTTTTTTAAACTTTGCATCGAAACCATAAGACCTTGTCATGAAAAAAGAAACATAAATATATTATCATGTTTTCAGGTTGTTCATTTTTTGTTGAGTATTCATATCGATTTTCTAACGTGTTGAAAAATAAGCTAATAAAAACAAAAACGCATCGAACGAATTTGTACTGTAGAACAGAGGTCCAAACAGGCCATCAAGCCTGTCTATGCCTGGAACAGGCCTTGGCTTTCCTGCCTGGCACGTGCCAGGCAGGCTGCTTAAAGTAGGCTGGCCTCCTGTTGGCCTGTTTATCATTATTTCCAAACTTGCAATAAAAAACTTAATTCTTGGGGCAGGAAATGTAAGTATAAAATTGTAATACGGAGGATTTTTGCTCTGGAGGATGAGAAATGATATTTTATCAGTTTCACTCAGCAGAATCATGACTAGTAATAGATTGTTACTGCATTGGTGATTCTGTATATTTGTAAGTTACTAGTCGCCAGTTTTAGTTGACTATTATTAAAATTCTACATAACGAGTTTACCAAATCTAACGTTCCTCAGTCATAGTTATACTATCGTATTATGGCCCTACTTAATGTCCTGTTTAACTAGTGCACTAAATTCATTGAAAAGATTTTTAATCCAAAACATTGTTATTTTAATATGTTTAACTTCCTTGTTTTTTTTATAATGACAGTTTACTACTTTTCGCTCAATTATTATTCTCATAAAATTATGGAAAAAACGTTCAGGCCTCAATAGGCAAGCCGAACTAAAGTACAGGGAGGCAGGCACAAGTAAGCTAAAGAGGTTGATAGCTTGTCATGGGCCGACCAGGCCTATGAAAAGTAGCCCTGTTTGGATGTCTGCCACGAAAAATATATATTTGATAACTAAATCTTATTGCGATTTGCATCAAGTAAACGATAAATATGATTAAGTTGGTGAAGAGTATGAAAGAACGTGAAACTCCTGATCGGGTGTGGGTGTTCTCTGGAAGTAATCTTAAATTCTGCTATCGATAGATGTCAAGGTTAAATTTTGAAAGATCTATTTACGGGTTTCACAAAAAATTATGAGTGTAAGCTTGTCATTCCTATCTATTATCTGTGTGAAACTCAGTTTCTCCGATGATTGCACTCAAACAAAGTGTTATCCATCATGGCAGTGCATTTGCATTGATTCGATGATTAATGCACATGCGTTCATAGACTATAATCCCTTTTCTCTCAGTCGATCTATTGTTACCTCATTAAGGCAATAGGCCAATGTCAAGTGTTTTCTTTCTTTATTGCGTACATTATGTTACAACGCAGGTCGAACAGTACGGTCCGTATACGGCCGTTGACGGTTACTTAACGACTATTTTACGGGCGAAAGTTTGCCGTAATATCTGGCGCAGTAATACGGACCGTATTATCGTGAGAGTACGGAGCACAAACAGCCGTAAACCATGAAAATTCAGTCCAGTTTACGGTGCCGTATTACTGCGCCAGGTATTACGGGTAAATACGGCCTATTTACTGCCGTAAATAGGGATGTGCAGTGTCGGTTTACTGNACGCTACACATCCCTAGCCGTAAATATACCGTTTTGACATCGTTTACCGTCGATAAACAGACCGTAAACGAGTCCGTTTTGATCAACCTGGGAAGTAATCCTATATAAGCATGATGATGCGTTAAATGAAATCAAAAATAGTTTGAACATTTATCTATCTAGAATTTGTTTCTTTTATCATTAATACATAACAGTTCGATGGCTGGTTTTAAGCGCAAACGTGAATATCAAGTATTCTCAAGACGAAAAGCTGCAGGTTAGATTACGTTTTTCTGTATTCGAAAAGAACGATTTACTTTTGTAGATAATTAACAATGTTATTGAAACTGAATCATCAATTCAAGAACAGATCAAATTTCGTATACAGGCTAAAATTACTATTTGAATTGAAAAAATAGTTTGCTAAGTGGATCCCACTGAATGATTAATATATTTCATTATTTTTTCACCTTTTCTTTAGATGTTTTGAATGATATATAATATCTCGAAAAACACAAAAATAATGACAAAGTTATTATACATGGCGAAATGGTATGATAAACAATTATATCCGTTCATGATAATCAGTTTTCATTCTAGGAAAACTCAAATTCATTATAACGTAGCTCAACCCAGGTGTGTGGATACGACTAACCGACAAAATCCGATCAGATTCCGGGTCTAGGATCTACTAATGGATCCGACAGAAAAAAACATTTTCTTAATCAACAATGAATAAGCATATGGTGCCAACAGAACACATGGGTCGAATGTTTATCTTGGATTCCATTAAATACCGACACTGGAACCTATCAGATTCCAACACTAGGGTTCCGATGATAGGTCCCACACCCTGATACCAATAGGATTTCATCGGCTTAATGAAATCCATACTATATCCGATAAGATTCCGGCACGAATCCACTAGGATCCTATCCTACTATCGAAATCATTCTCCTGGGTCAAGTAAGAACTATGAAATAATTCAGAAAATTGACACTAAAGGTCAGATTACTTTTTCAATTTTTATTTTAATATGTTGTAAGATATTTTTTTATAGTTATTGATGCTGATAATCTTTCTGATCTTTTAAATGAAATTAGTGAACATAGCGTCGATGAACTTTTAAAAAAGTAGATTTGATAATTTTTTTCGATATTAAAAGATTACTTGCATATGTTTTTTTAGGAAAAAATAGGCAACCAACTGCAGGTCGTAAACGTTCAAAACAAAGAAGAATGATTTTGATTGGCCTTTTCTTGTTTTCTCCACAATAGTTTCTCGTTATTGTGTCTTGTACTACTTTCTCTATTGTTCACTTATGTTTGTTTTCGTTTACAATAATGAAATTGAGATCGAAAGATTCAAATTAGACGATAATCTAATTTAAAGTGAATTCGCTTTATTTCTTACTTGGCTGTCAATTTCACAACGCTCTTCATAAATTATTTCATCATTTGGATGAATTTTCGATAAACATTTCATCATGAATATAATTATTATTCATTTTATTCGATTGTAAATAGTATTATTAACCGGATATCAAATGAAATATTTATGTTATTTCAATAATAAGAAAGAAATATATACGAAAAAAAGATGATCATCAGTACTTCATACACCGATGAAAATTTTCGTCTAGATTATTCTGAGCAAAAAAGGCTACAGAACCATGCTTGATTTTTGATTAAATACGAGACGCAAATCCTTCCTATACATAAGGTCAATATTAGTATAAGTTAATTTTATATTGTTTTGAAGTTGAAGCTTATTCAAGATGCATTGCCGTTTAATCATTTCCTGAGACTTTTTAGATATGATAAACAATGTCAATATAAGGATAGTTCATCCAAGCCTTCGCATATACCCAAGAACTTTTTGTATTTTGATTCTAAATACAGATTAGGAACCAAGAATACATATTAATCGAAAACGGTGATAAAGGATGCGAGTGAAGAATGTAGATGTCAACTTTCAACCTACTTATTTTCAGCAACAACTATACCTACACTCTCGTAATAAAATTTTAAGATCAGGAAATTTTACCTAAATACAATATAAAGTATAAAGGAAGTAGTTCATACGAAAAATATTGAATTATATTTATTACCCAAGTATCTGTTATTAGTTATTAGATATATGAAGTGAGCATGCGTTTATCTTCATAACAAAAAAAAATTGTTATTTATTGATTAGATCGAATAGAATATAGAATGATTCGAAATATTTTTACTGATTTTAATTCATCATTTTTCTATTCGATTTCCGTGGCTTATATTATTTAAAGACTACTCATTTGAACGGATCACAAGAGTCCAATATCACAGCTAGCTAAAGCAATCTCAACTCATACAATACACTATGAATAAACCAATCGCGACATAATTATTAAGGTTTTTCAATTGCATAAGAATGGTTCAACATTTACAATCGGTCATATTTTTATCTACCATGAATATTTTATAGAATTAAAAACGACTGCAACGAAATGATACGATATATCATTAGCATGGAAAAAATAGATTGAGAATAAGAATAAAGGAGTCAATTGTTATTAATCAAAACTGTACATATGAGGAAGAGCATATTTATGCGTATTGAATTTCATTATTTTGCAAAATAGATGACTTCTAAAATTTCTTTACGTGAGCTATTAAATAATACTACTATTAAATGTTTCAAAGTAGATTGTTGATTTATATACCAATATTATGTATGATTACTGACGAATTATTATACTCACAATAAATATTTTTCTTCTTGTGATTATGGTAAAAATTTGTGCGTCATCTAGTTAATACACAGTCAAATAGAAAGATTTGAAAATGAAGAACCATTCATTTATTTGATAATACATGCTATTGATTGACGAATATTCTTTTCGTTTAAACCATATCAATTGACGAGCCGATTATGTTTTGAAAGCGTCTAGTTTCTCATTGAGTAGAGCATTAGAATCCTAAAACTCATCAAATAATAATAAATACGCCTTTAAATTTCTTGTATTTTTACAGCAGCAAAAGTTAATACTTAATTATACAATGTATATTAAGAGAGACTACCATTTTGAGGGAAATTACTTCTGCAGAAAAACTACAAAAGTAAATCCCGCGTAGGCTAACTTTATATTGAATTTTGCATGACATTGTGCAATTACATTAACGCACTAATATATAGTGACGATAACACAACCTACGCATGTGTTATCCATTTTTCGTATAGTATATACGTATCGGCTGTATATAACTAGCGAACAATGGTATTTTTCTACTATACNTATTTTTGGAAAATTTGTTTTTTGCATGGCCAATCCGGCGTGAAAAAAAAAAAAAAAGAAGATTATTCAACAACAAGTTTTATGGTGATTGTGAAAAAATAATTCTAATTGATGTTTTGTGTTCAGAATTTTAAGCCCTTCAAAATGATATACGAAAATTGACGATACGTTCATATACAGCGGAGAAAACTGCGGTATATTCGTCGTGACCAGAAAGCTTCGTGACCGGTCGTGACCAAAATTGGTCACGACGAATGTGTTGAAGTTTTCTCCACTGTAGTTCAATGTATGTTCAAGCTTCTTGTATCGTTTTGAAGAGCTTAAAATCCTGAACACAAAACATCAAATGGAATTATTTTTCCACAACCATCATAGAAACTGTTATTGAATAATCTTTTATTTCTTTGGTCACGCAGATCACTATCGGAAAACAACAGAACGAGTGTCCAAGTACGTCTTCGTATAGTAGAAAAATACCATTGTTCGCTAGTTATATACAGCCGATACGTATATACTATACGAAAAATGGATAACACATGCGTAGGTTGTGTTATCGTCACTATATATTAGTGCGTTAATGTAATTGCACAATGTTATGCAAAACTCAATATAAAGTTAGCCTACGCGGGATTTACTTTTGTAGTTTTTCTGCAGAAATAAATTCCGTCAAAATGGTAGTCTCTCTTTATATACATTGTGTAATTACATGTTAGCTTTCGCTGCTGTAAGAATACAAGAAATTGATATTTCACAAGTCGTTCTTATACATATAGTTGAATACGCCTTTATTGCTGTTTTTCTTCTCTCAGGACAAAATCAAATAACTCATAGCATAATATCGAACTCCATATTTGAAGGACGAAAGATTAATAAAATTGAGTCCTTTTTTTTACATTAAAATTGAAGTCATCTTTTTTTTGGCATTTATTTTCAAATTGATCTGCTTTTTCTTCCCTATTTTATTTTAATACTTTTGGAATTATGTTAAAGTTTGTATGAATGTAAACCTTCCGGTGTACAAAATGCTGTTTGAAAACGGAAACATACTAAAATATACAAAGAATAAATATTTTACTAACTGCTTACAAGTTAAAGTGGTTTTTTTCAGAGGGATTTCAATGAATTTCATAATAGTACAAAATATTGATACAATTCCTTCTCTTTTATTCAGAAAACTTTAAAATATGAATTTATTCTAGAGAATAGATTTATTTCGTTACACAATGAGATTTCTCTCGGCTAAACTTTCTGTCTTTTTTTTAATACTCAATTACCGTTCATTTGAAATAAAAAAAAGTTCTTTTTGCTTGCGCGTGGTTCTCGCTGGTATTAAACCTTCACAGTATTGTGTTATGCAGTATTTATATATGACATTTGTCGCACTTCAGCTTCTTTGATTTGACTTGTATATTGAATTAAAAATCGCTCTTTCCTATATCAAATGCCGTATATATTGACAAAATATCGTTGTTTTTTTTCATTTTACTTCTTCAGCTTACATTATTAGCTTGTATGCACAATACGTGAATTTCTTTGATAACATTCGTTTACTCTTATATTTGTAAAGCAAGAATCTACTTCCAATTGTATGTGTTTCAATCAGCGTTCTGAAACTCTTCTATGGACTTGAATTTGTAGGCAAGTAAACTGTCCATGAATATCAACTTTGCCATTTTTGAGTAATATGTGACCGACTTCGGTAAGAATAGTTAGTCTTAATATTGCAACCAATATTGTACTTGTAATCGATATAGAACAAGAGTTCAATCAATTTGTGTCTAGAAATCCTACAACACATATGTAACCCGTATTCTTTCATGGGACCCTTAACAAACGATAAGATTAGTCGCGAAAATACCACCATATATGAATGAATAAAGAACAAGATGTTTTAACATGTTGAAGGTAATGGAGCTGAAGCTTTTGCATGCGAATAAAACTGTTGATGGATTTTGAGATGTATAGATTGAATTTATTTTACTATGCTGATTTCGAGTAGACAATCCGTATTGACAGTAAGTTCACTTATATTGAGCGAAACCCCGTTTAGTATAAATCAAAAAAAAGCAAGTAGTGAATTTCATGAGCATTGGTAAGTTGAATTCCGGTTTTGTTTTTCACCTTACAATAAGTTTAATGCGCTAGTATCTCCTTTTTTTACAATTTGAAAAAATCCTCTGGAATAATCTATAATTCAAAGAAGATGAATGCTTTGAAAGCTAGACAATAGAGATAACTCTCAATAAAAATAATAATAATTGAGTTTAGGTAGAATAATTGTTTCAAGAGAGTTTCGATAGTATGACGCATGAACAGATTTTTACTATGGTGTGTTGAGTTAATAGCATTTAGATTAACCGCCGTGAAATTTAACTTTTGAATTCAAACAACGATTGACATTCGAAGCAACTACTGGAAAAAATTAGAAGTTCACTTTTGAGAATGCTCTAATTTCATTACTTATGACCCGTCTCTGTTTAAAATTTTAAGAGTTTCACGTATCTCTGCTCTATTCGCATTGGGCCAATAGGCATATGGCGAGTATCATATTGCGCATAAGAGTGTGAAGAAAAGTATACCAGCAAGATAAAATCCTGTATATTTGTCATCAATAAGATTATCCTACGCTAAATACTCTATAAAAAATAGTTCGTTTTGGTTAATATTAGTAATCTGTAATGTTGTAATTTTCATAGTTAAATATGAAAAATCGATGTATGTCAAAATCTTCATTTTTTTCTCATAATTAGTCAGCAAAACAGAAGAAAAGTAAATACTGCCAAGACGGAATGTAATATGTTGAGTTACTAAAAGTAATTTGATCTGTAATTTCACATATTGTTTTATAAATCTGAAGGCGGAAAGACATGATCAATTCTTCTACGTGTGAGAACGAAAAAGAAAAGAAAAGAAAATAAAGCATCAAGTTTTTATATATTGATTTAATTTCAAGATGAATAACAATACAATACAATACTAGTAGCTATTATTCTTCAGTAGAAAATCGACTTTTCACGCGGAGCTATTTCACATAGGAAATATAGTTGAATAAGACACTTCATCCTACACTCTAGCCTACTGTCTAGATGTAACATACTGTGCATACCATAGTTCTATTTGTTTTCGAAACTCGTTGATAAACAATTTAGGATCCTTCTACTTAAAAATTAAATACATTTTCAACGAACCAGTTTTGGTTTAGTGATAAGTTTTTATTTTTTGAAAACTTCTATTTTTCATTTTCATCTTGCTTTCAATAACAAAAAAAAAAATATATATATATAAGCGTAATATTAATCTATATTTATATAGTCGTGTGCTACTAATCCTTGCAAATACTTCTATAGAATATGTGGTCGCTGCAGTATATTGACCGTGCGCTTAAACTTCGTTAAAAACGTCGTTGTGCAAAAACTGAGTATTTCATAACTATCGTAACGAACCAGAAAAATAAATATATTTAACATGTGAGCGATTTCTAGAGAAAAATCATTATAAACAATTCAACAACACAACTCGTTTATGATATTACATCAAATATATGTAGCAATGATTATTGTATTCATTTTAGGTAATTCATCTTTACTAAAAGTTTCATTCACACTTTGTACTGTTATAGTTGTCGGTTACTTCACCACAGTAACTACAGAATCTTTCGCAAGAGAAACATGGTCAAACCTTATCCAGGACGTATCCTTGAAACTAAACGATTACAAATCCAACGAGAAAAATGAAAAAGATAATGGATTTGGTGAAGGCTTCATGTTAATATCAAATAATCGTCAACAATCCTCGTCTAAAAAGCATTCAGCAAATCGTCTACTTTTAGTAAATCGCATATCAACATTAAATAATATTTCATCAACCACATGCAAGACGATAACAAAGGCTGAAAATTCAAATGATACTCTTCTTCCAAGAAAAATTCATGCCGATGAGCAACTACATGGATCACTGCCGAGTAACACTAACGATATTGTTCCGAGAAAAATATCATTACAAAATACACCAAAAGTAAATGACGATCTTGATATTAACAGTTACTTGGCCGTAAATCCTGCTGATTTGAGTAGACAACTGCTCGAAGATGTATCAGCCTATGGTGGTAGTGGAGATAGTATGTTTAAATTTGAATGCTCTTTCAGGAAAAGTATGTATTTCTCTTAATTTTCCAGTCACCGAAGAAACAACTCAATATACATCAGGTAGACTATGTGCCATCTGCTTCGCTACTTCCAAAAACATTTAACATCAAAAAACACCCTTCATCACTGAACTCATAACTTCACATAAACTCCCACTTCCTAAACATTCTCTTATACTTAACGACTTTCTTTCCACATTTTCAGAAACAACCACCATGTCCAATTTCACAACATCCATCCAACCGAACGAACACAATTCCACTGTAACCGCTGATATATACACGAGCACAAATTCAGCTTCTACCGCGCCCACCACTGACACCTCAACATCAATAACACCTGAATCCGGTACAATGCCTACGGTTGTCACGACAGCAGGCACCACTGATACAACGTATACCATTCAAATCACTTTAACTTCAACTATTCCCGGTTCAACAATTACACTTACATCAATAACAGAAACCACAACCACTGATACACGTACAACAGAACAACTAACAACAGGTACCGGTGCCACTGATACTACAACGACGGGCACAGGCACAACAGAAACCACAACCACTGATACACGTACAACAGAACCACTAACAACAGGTACCGGAACAACAGAAACAATACCCACTGGTACCGGCACAACAGAAACAATAACCACTGATACAAGTGCAAGTGATACTACAACCATGGGTACAGGCACTACCCAAACAACCACTGCTCGTACAGGTACTACAGAAACAA